AACTTCCACAAAGATGTTTCATTGCAATAAAAATAAAAGTTTCCCACCCTCCCACCCATTTTTTAATGCGTTGTCTATAACAAAAAAGGAAACCTCATTTCATGAAATTTTCCTAAATATTAGCTTTTAATGTAGAAAAAAAAGTAATATAATTATTACTAATTTGTCTCATACTGGAATTTTTGAACTAGTATTTTTTTTGTTTAAAAAAAACATTATTCTCATTAAAAAAAAAACAATATATATTTTCTTGAATTTTAAGCTTGTCCAAGGTAAAAAAGTAACAATTCTGGACTTTATAAACGACTTCAGTGTGAAAAAGTGTGCCACAGATACGTCCATGTTTTTTTTAATTCTTCAAAAATTCGTCAAAATTTTATAAATTTTGAAAAGTATTTGTTGTTCTGGACCGCCAATGCCATGATTTATTTCGTTAAGCATAGCTTTTACTTAAATATGGAGGACATGGAGTGAAATTCATGTTCATTTTCTCAAAAATCGTCAAAATAATCTATTGCAATAAAAATAATAGTTCGCCACTCTCCCACCCATTTTTTATACTTACGTTGTCTATAACAAAAAAGAAAACCCCATTTGATGAAATTTTCATACTCGTAGTCAGATATCTAATTTTTTTTTCATGAAAAGAAAAACTACTGTTCTCATTAAAAAAAGGGAATACACAAATGTGCCATAGATAAGTCTATTTTTTTTAATTTTTCAAAAATTTGTCGAAATTTTATAAATTTTGAAAACTGTCTGTTGTTCCCGACGGCAAATGTCATGATTTATTTCGTTAAGCTTTGCTGATACTTAAAAATGGAGGACCTCGTGTCAAATTTAATATTCATTGTTTCGAAAATCGTCAAAATTTTCTGTTCCAAATCAAGCATTAACAAAAGTTCTGCACCATATCTCACGTACCTTTGTCAAAAGCAATTTATTTCCAGTTCAGACAGGTCTACGAAACTCAACTTCTACAAAGATGCTCCATTGCAATCAAAATAAAAGTTCCCCACCCTCCTACCCATCTTTTAGTGCGTTGTCTATAACAAAAAAGAAAATCCCATTTCATGAAATTTCCCTAAACCAAAGTTAGATAGATATCTATATTTTTTTTCATGAAAAGAAAAACTTTTCTTGTCATAAAAAAAGACAATACACATTTTCTTGAATGTTGAGCTTGTCGAAGATAAAAACATAACACTTTTGGACTTTCTAAACAATATCAGTGTGAGAAGATGTGCCACAGATACGTTTAATTTTTTTTAAATTTTCAAAAATTGTAATTTTTTAAAAAAAGAGAATACATTTTTTTTTAATGTTGAACTTGTTGAAGACAAAAAAAATAACACTTCTGGACTTTCTCTACAACACCAGTGTGAGAAAATGTTCCATAGATACGTCAATATTTTTTTAAATTTTTCAAAAATTCGTCAAAATTTTATAAATTTTGAAAACTGGTTGTTGTTCCGGACCGCGAATGCATGATTTATTTCGTTAAGCATTGCTGCTACTTAAATATGGAGAACATAGCGGGAAATTCGTATTCATTTTCTCAAAAATCGTCAAAATTTTCTCACCGTCTCTACCTTCGTCATAAGCAATTTATGTCCACATCAAACACGTTTATAAAACTTAACTTCCACAAAGATGTTTCATTGCAATAAAAATAAAAGTTTCCCACCTTCCCACCCATTTTTTAATGTGTTGTCTATAACAAAAAAGGAAACCTCATTTCATGAAATTTTCCTAAATATTAGCTTTTAATGTAGAAAAAAAAGTAATATCATTATTACTGATTTGTCTCATACTAGAATTTTTGAACTAGTAATTTTTTTTTTTTTGATAAAAAAAAACATTATTCTCATTAAAAAAAAGACAATATATATTTTCTTGAATTTTAAGCTTGTCCAATATAAAAAAGTAACACTTTATAAACGACATCAGTGTGAAAAAGTGTGGCACAGATACGTCCAATTTTTTTTTACTTCTTCAAAAATTCGTCAAAATTTTATAAATTTTGAAAAGTATTTGTTGTTCTGGACCGCCAATGCCATGATTTATTTCGTTAAGCATAGCTCTTACTTAAATATGCAGGACATGGCGTGAAATTCATGTTCATTTTCTCAAAAATCGTCAAAATTTTCTATTGCAGATCAGGTATTAAAAAAAAAATCTGCATCGTCTCTACCTTCGTCATAAAGTCATAAGCAATTTATTTCCACATCAAACACGTCTATAAAACTCAACTTCCACAAGGATGTTTCATTCGAACAAAAATAAAATTTCCCCACCCCTCCCACCCATCTTTAAATGCGTTGTCAATAGCAAAAAAGAAAACCCCATTTCATGAAATTTTCCTAAACCAAACCTTTTTATTTAGAAAAAAAAATAGTAATATCATCACTGATTTATCGTATGTTAAAATTTTTTAACGAGTTAGATATTTAAATACGTATAGGAGAATTTTTTTTCTGAAAAGAAAAACTATTCTTCTCATTTAAAAAAAATACACATTTTCTTGAATGTTAAGGTTGACGAAAATCAAAAAAAAATAACATTTCTGGACCTTCTAAACAACATCAGTATGAGTCACAGTTACGTCTAATTTTTTTTTTTTTAATTTTTCAAAAATTCGTCAAAATTTTATAAATTTTAAAAACTGCTGTTCCTGACCGCAAATGCCATGATTTATTTCGTTAAGCATTGGTGATACTTAAAAATGGAGGACCTGATGTGAAATTTCATATTAATTTTCTCAAAAATCGTCAAAATTTTCTGTTGCAGATCAAGTATTGAAAAAAATTCCACACCTTCTCTATCTTCTTCATAAACAATTTATTTCCTGATAAAACACGTCTATAAAACTCAACTTCCACAAAGATGTTTCATTGCAATAAAAATAATAGTTCGCCACCCTCCCACCCATTTTTTATACGTTGTCTATAACAAAAAAGAAAACCCCATTTGATGAAATTTTCATACTCGTAGTTAGATAACTAATTTTTTTTCATGAAAAGAAAAACTATTGTTCTCAAAAAAAGAAAATACACACTTTTTTAATGTTGAACTTGTTGAAGATAAAAAAATACCAGTTCTGGACTTTCTCTACAACATCAGTGTGAGAAAATGTGCCATAAATAAGTCTATTTTTTTTAATTTTTCAAAAATTTGTCGAAATTTTATAAATTTTGAAAACTGTCTGTTGTTCCCGACGGCAAATGTCATGATTTATTTCGTTAAGCTTTGCTGACAGTTAAAAATGGAGGACCTCGTGTCAAATTTAACATTCATTATTTCGAAAATCGTCAAAATTTTCTGTTCCAAATCAAGCATTAAAAAAAATTCTGCACCATATCTCACGTACCTTTGTCAAAAGCAATTTATTTCCAGATCAGACAGGTCTACAAAACTCAACTTCTACGAAGATGCTCCACTGCAATCAAAATAAAAGTTCCCCACCCTCCTACCCATCTTTTAATGCGTTGTCTATAACAAAAAAGAAAATCCCATTTCATGAAATTTTCCTAAACCAAAACTTTTTATTTAGAAAAAAAATAATAATACAATCACTGATTTGTCGTATATTAATATTTTTGAATTAGTTAGATAGATATCTATATTTTTTTTTCATGAAAAGAAAAACTTTTCTTGTCATAAAAAAAGACAATACACATTTTCTTGATTGTTGAACTTGTCGAAGATAAAAACATAACACTTTTCGACTTTCTAAACAATATCAGTGTGAGAAGATGTGCCACAAATACGTTTAATTTTTTTTAATTTTTCAAAAATTGTAATTTTTTAAAAAAAGAGAATACATCTTTTTTTCTAATGTTGAACTTGTTGAAGACAAACAAAATAACACTTCTGGACTTTCTCTACAACACCAGTGTGAGAAAATGTTCCATAGATACGTCAATATTTTTTTCAATTTTTCAAAAATTCGCCAAAATTTTAGAACTTTTGAAAACTGGTTGTTATTTCGGACCGCGAATGCCATGATTTATTTCGTTAAGCATTGCTGTTACTTAAATATGGAGGGCATAGCGGGAAATTCATATTCATTTTCTCAAAAATTGTCAAAATTTTCTATTGCAAATCAGATACGTCTATACAACTCAACTTACACAAAAATGTTTCATTGCAATAAAACTAAAAGTTTCCTACCCTCCCACCCATCTTTTAATGCGTTGTCTATAGGAAAAAGGAAAACCCCATTTCATGAAATTTTCCTTAACCAAACCTTTTTATTTAGAAAAAAAAAAATAATATAGTAGTTAGATATTTTAATACTTTTTTGATGAAAAGAAAAACGATTCTTCTCATTACTAAGGGAAATTGAGTCGCTTAAATAACTCCCTCAGTCCCTCTGCCATTCCAGTTCCAATGGGGTGCACTCCGCACAAGCACGGACAATATGAACTGTATTTGAAACATATGACCGAACCAAAGGGAAACATGTTGTCTCACTGTCTCAGAACATGTGTACTTCAACTGTTCATAGTTCGAAAGAACATTAAAGAATTTCACTGTTAGCACGTTCCGATAGCAAGCACCTGTGTTAAAAGAAAATGAAATTTGATTGATTTTGTTTCCTCAAAACAGAGGAGAGGACTAATTCAGTTAATTAAGCTACAACGGGGACTTATTTTATTATTAGGTATTGAATATAGGCAGGAGCGACATTACTGTATTTTTAAATTTTCCAAACAATGAATGGGGTGAACTGTTCTTGATTTGAGAAAAAAAAGCTGAGGCCAGCTGAGATTAATATTTGGATAATTAATCCCTATTACAAAGATTTTTGAATACATCACAATATGTTCATTTTCGTTGATCTGATATAAATAATGTGTATGACCTTAGACAGATGATGCAATATTACGAGCTGACCTGTCCAAATGATAATGGAGTTAACAACAGAAGTTACTGAACCGTGTCTACGCGTTTGATCTGCGAACTGCTTCTCCCTCCAGAAAATTATCAACACATGAATTAAACCAGTTGCTATTGTAGTTTTGTTTTGAACAGACAAGTCCACCACAACAACGCAACGAGACAAACCACAAGATTATCATTAATTAATACCACAAAATTCAGCCAGAGATAACAATATTGCAAGAAAAAAACACCAGTCGAATCACCAATTAGTCAACAGGAATTAGGTATTTTACATTTCCCGTTTCAAGTTTCCATTGTTGCGTCATTATACCTGATTGGAAGATAAATATAGGGCAGAGTAAACCAGACACTTAGTCAGAAAAGTTGAAATGAAGGTGTCCTTCAACTTGACAATCACTATTATCAACCACTCTTTGTTTATTTAGTGTCTATAAGTGTGCGCAATGTGGTGGATCCTGGCTGCTGCAGCAGCCGTTGCTCTGTGGTACTGGTTGTTCATCTACCCCCATAAGTACTGGCTAAAAAGGGGGGTGAAGCCGAGAACTTCAGGATTTCTTTTGGGAGATACTCTGGGGACGTTTTTACAAAAACAGGCTTTTGCAGATATGGTCAAGGAAGTTTATGAAACTTGTCCAAACCCCAGGTGGGTAACACTTGTCTATAACTACCACAGTCGTAAAATGTGATTTTTAGGTACGCAGGCAGCTACCAGTTTTTTCTACCAAGCCTTCTAATCAAAGATCCGGAACTCATCAAACAAATCACTGTCAAAGACTTCGAGCACTTTGTGGACCATCGAAGCCTTTTTCCAGAAGGCAGCGATCCCCTTTGGTCCAGAAACCTTTTTTCATTGACTGGGAAAAGATGGCGCGACATGCGATCAACACTCAGCCCGGCTTTCACCAGTAGCAAAATGAAGTACATGTTCACTTTAATCTCACAAAGTGGTGAACAGTTCGTACAATATTTTTTGAAAAAGAACGAAGACGTTGTTACTGTTGAAATGAAAGATACGTTCACCAGATTCACTAACGACGTCATCGCCAATACTGCTTTTGGAGTAGAATGTGATTCTTTGACCGATAGAGACAACGAGTTTTATTTGATGGGAAAAGATGTCACAAATTTTAATGGCGTTTGGAAGAATCTCAGATTCTTGTTGATAATTTTAATGCCTAGGGTGTTCCAGGTGGGTTCGTGATACTGTCAACTATTTATGATTTACTGTATCTATGTTTTCTTTTTAGTTTTTTAAAATGACACTATTTTCAAAAGAAGTCGGCAACTTTTTCACTAATCTAGTCAAGAGCAATATCCAAAGTCGCGAGAAACACGGAATTGTAAGACCCGACATGATCCACCTTCTTCTAGAAGCTCGAAAAAATGGACTCAAACACGACGAAACTCAACCCCTCCAAGACACAGGTTTTGCCACTGTGACAGAATCTGAAATCAACACAAACCCCAAAAATACCAAAACAGAGATTACAGATCAAGACATCACAGCGCAAGCTTTAGTTTTCTTCTTTGCTGGTTTTGATTCAGTGTCTGCACTCATGTGTTTCATGGCTCACGAACTAGCTGCCAATCCAGACGTCCAAGACAGACTAATCAAAGAAGTAGATGAAACTCTGGAACTTTGTCAAGACAAATTAACTTATGAGGCGCTTCTTTCCATGAAATATATGGACATGGTGGTCTGTGAAACTCTGAGAAAATGGCCCAACGCTGTTGCTTCTGATAGAGTTTGCACGAAACCCTACACCATCGAGCCTAAATATCCAGACGAGAAACCCGTTCACTTGAAAATAAAGGACGCAGTGTGGTTTCCTGTTTTTGGTATTCACAGAGATCCTCAGTATTATCCAGAACCAGAACGTTTTGATCCTGAAAGGTTTAACGACGAGAACAAAGTCAACATTAGTCCTTACACGTACATGCCTTTTGGCGTCGGACCTAGGAATTGTATTGGTTCCAGGTTTGCTCTCCTGGAAACTAAAACGCTATTTTTTTATATTTTGTCACACTTTGAAATAGTTCCAGTGGAGAAAACTCAAATACCGTTAGTTTTGAGTAAGAAACAGTTGAATATGGCTGCTGAAAACGGCTTCTGGTTAGGGCTGAAACGTCGCCAAAAATAAAAAGGTTCGTAGATGTATACACAGTTAAGTGTTGGTTTTAATAAAAATCTTTCCACCGTCACACGTTTTTTTTTTACATGACTAACTAACGAAGAAAAAACAAGGAAAAAAACTTGAATCGCATTCTTATAATTACTCCGATTTACAAAGTACAACAACTTATAGAAATTACTGGGTACTTATAACATATCAGAATCAATGTCGATGACAAATTACAGAGTGATAAATTTGTCATAACAAGGTTGCAGCAATGTCATGGATTAAAGTGTGCATGTATCTCTAAAAAAGTCGTCTTAGAACTTGTGAAATATTAAGTCACTTTTTTACGGTTTACACAGAGTACTACTTCTAGAAGATTTGGCAAAAAAAATGTAAACATACTGTTATCAGTAAATGTTACTGAACTGATAACTTGAATCAACAATTGATAACACATAGATAGAGCTCAGAGTAGTAATGAAGCACCAAACAGATGTGAACAGGTGTTCTACCTTTTCTCCCTTCATCTCTTCTACGCTTAATCAGAATCGAAAACTATTTCCTGCGTCATGTATTGAAGATAAATATATAAATATCGAACATCATAAAACACCAAGAGGTCATCATCACTCATCGTCATCTGAAACACTAAAGAGGACCACAATTTGATAAAGCTTGTAAGATGTAGAACCTTCAACTTAGTGAAAATTATGTATCTATCAGTTATTATTTTTAGTGTGAATAGATTTGAACGATGTTGTGGATCGTGGTAGCAATAGCCGTCATAGCTTGGGTGTACCGGTTGCTAACTCGCCCCCACAAGTACTGGCTGGAAAAAGGGGTGAAACAAGGAAATCCAGGATTTCTTTTTGGGGATAATTGGGGAACGGTTTTCCGGAAAAGGTCTTTCGCGGAAATGGTTTTGATGGTTTATAACATCTGTCCAAAAGCTAGGTTAGTAAACTAAAACACCTGTCCTTTTTTCCACCTAATTGTCTTTCTTGTGCTTTCTATAATTGACAAAATGGCTCCCGACAAAATAGCTTCGTCAAAATAGCCCAAAATCTAAAAATCCCCGAAGATGAACTAAAATATCACACAAAAAATATCTGGCCTGTCAATCTACAACTGTTGAAGTTAGTGGCGGTGGTGTTCTTATTGCGGTGCTTTCTAAATACTCCTCAAGTGTCGTCAATGCTCCTGAAAACCAGGGCGAAAGTATTTTTGTGTTCATCAATTTGTGTCACATATAAACCTCCTTCTTCAGATGTTAATGTTTATCTTAATTGTCTGTCTTCGGTTGACTTTAATTTACCCAATATTAGCTGGTTACCTAAGTCTAGCGATAATTTTAGCCTCATTCCTATTTTAAAAAATAACTTTATATAATTGATAACATTTTTATTGATTTACTCTTAACTATCTTGATATTCGTCAATTTAACCATGTTTTAAACTGCAGTCATTCTTGTTTTGATCTCGTACTCTCAAAATAAATACTTAAAGACAGTTAAAACATTGTCCCCAATGTAAAACCATATCATCTACCTCTCAACATAAAATTCCCTGTCTTCCGTCCATGTACCTCTTTGTAACAATTTTTCATATGACTTTAAAAATGCTCGGAATAGCGAAATTAATGACTATTTCTCTATCAACTGGAATATTTTGCTTACAACTAATGATGTTACTACCAATGTTGAATTTTTTTACAACATTTTAAGAGTGGCTATTGAAATATTTGTCCCTAAATCCACTACTACTAATGTAGAATCAAATTTTCAAATTAGTTCTCTAAAAACACAAAGATATTTACCAAGAAAAAAAATAGATTCTATAAAAAAAGTCAAATTTAGTCATAATTTAAGCTAGTTTAGTGAATTTAAAAACATTAGAAACTCTCTGCTCGATTCCTGGAGATTATAAGAGAAATAAACCCATACGTCGCCCCGGTACGACGCATATGGGTTTTCTAGTATGTGCGGCCATGGTGGGTGACTCATCGTCGGTGACGGCGGCCGGACGGCGTTCGCTAAAGAAAAGCCTGGAAGCGGAAGTCGCGATGGGTGCTCCAGAATAAGCCTAGAAGCGGTGACGGGGACTGTTCGAGAAGGACCGTGTGACTCTTTAATTGGGAACCACCGTCGGGAGCGGGCGGTGAAGTCCAGACAATGGACGAATTAGAGTCTAGTCAAATCCATTCGAGTCGGAATTATTCTGTACATAATCGCTGTATAATTAGTCGTGAATATTCGAGTTACTAAGAAATAATTTCTTAATCAGATGTATTTCATTGTAATAATACTCTCAGCTCGATTAAAATTTCTAACGATACTGTGTTTCAGAAATTGTATAACTTAAAAAATACAACAATGGAAATTTTCATTTATTATGCCTTTACATAAATAAATAAAAATAAATTACAAACTTATCGCTTGCTTGACTTCTTTATCTAATTCTTGATTAGACCGTAACGTAACAGATATATTTTTTTAAATGTGCAATTTTTAAAAAAGGGGTTTTCATTGGAATTGAAAATGAGATCAGGTAAATTAATAGCTATTTACCGAACAAGTTTGTTAATAAAGGTGATTAATAATCGAGATATTTTAACGCGCGAGGAACGAGTTTTTATATTTTTTCTTTTTCTTAATTTGAAATTTTTCAGTTTTTGGATTTTTCATTTTTTTTTGTTTTCAATTTTTCGTTTCTTCAATTTTTGATTTGCAGGTTTTCTAGTTTTCATTTTAGATATGTAATAATAATTATAATTTTTATTAGAGTTGTTCATTTTTTCAATTTTTCGTTTTTGGAATTTTTTAATTTTTCGATCTTTGAATGTTAGTTTTTGGATTTTACGAACATTTTTCGATTTAATTCGTTCTTTGATTCATTAATTTTTTCTCGATTTCTAGTTTTTCAATGTTTCTATTTTTCGTTTCTTCAGTTCTACAATTTTGTCAAATAAATGTTATATAAATTAAAAAAAAAAGTAACAGTGTACGTATGGTCTATGAATCCGTGTTGAATTTTTATCTTCGACATCGAAATTTTTGTGGAAAAATAAAACACAATTGAATTACAATTTCTTGATTTCTCGATTTTTAGTTTGCTTAATTTTTTCAGTTTTACAATTTTTGCAATTTAAAAAAAGATCATTTTTACATTTCTCAATTTTTCTATTAATCAATTCTTTGATTTTTCGATTTTTCCTCTTTTCAATTTATCGATTTTTCAGTTTTTCGATTTCTCAAGTTTTCGTTGTTGCAATTTTGGGATTTTTCAATATCTCCAATTTTTTTATTTAAAATTTTTCACTTTTTTGATATATCGATTTATCGTTTTTTTTTTAAGTTTAAATATGTATTTCAGTTGTAATTTTCCGGTTTTTCGATTTCTCCATTTCTCGGATCTTTTGATGTCTCAATTTTTTAATTTCGATTTCTCGGCTTTTCCATTTTTCAATTTTTTATTTCTTCAAGTTTTTAGATTTTTAAAATTCTCCATTTTTCGATTTTATGTTTTGTTATGCTTCGATCTCCCGATTTTAACCTTTTTAACGTGTATTCCAATTTTTCGATTTTGGAATTTTCGATTTCTTACATCTCGATTTTTCGTTTTTTCTATTTCAAAATGTTTTTACTTTGAATCTCTATATTTTTCAGTTTTTTGATATTTTCATTTTTCAACTTTTTAAATTTTGATTTTTTGACTTACCAGAAATTGATTTTTGGGGTTTTCAAATTTTCGTCTTTTCAGTTTTGAGATTTTTCAATTTGTCGATTTTTTAGTTTTTCATTTCTTTAGTTTTTCAGTTTTTCAAGTTTTCGAATTTTTAAATTTAAAATTTTTCAATTTTTCGATTTTATTTTTTTACGTTCCGATTTCCCGATTTTAATGTTTTTTATGCTTTTCAGTCTTTGGTTTTTATAAATTTTCATTTTTCCATTTCTCAATTTCTCGATTTTTCGACTTTTTGATTTTGTGTTTTTTTTAATGTAAAATTTTTCGTTATTGTAATTTTTTAATTTTTTTAAATTTTAGATATTTAGATTTTTCGAATTCTCGATCTTTTTTCAGTTTGAATTCCTCGGTTTTCCGATTTTGCAAAATTTCGATTTTTCAATCTTTCGACTTTTCAGTTTTGAAAATTTTCGATTTCTCGATTTTTCAGTTTTTGATTTTCCAACCTTTAGATGTTTCAAATTTTAGAGTTTGCAAATTTCACAAGTTTTCAGTTTTTAATTTCGTCAATTTTTCGATTTGCAATTTTTCGTGTGGGTTTATTTTTTCAATTTTCCGTTTTTTTAATTTTTCATTTGCAGTTTTTCTAGTTTTCATTTTAATTATGTAACACTCCTAATAATTATAATTTATAAAGTTGTTCACTTTTTCAGTTTTTCGTTTTTGGAATTTTTCAATTTTTCGGTGTTTGAATGTCACGGTTTTTGGACTTTACAATTTTCAAGATTCTATAATTTATCGATTTTACAATTTTTGGATTTTCCAATTTTTCAATTCGAATGGTTTTTCTTCTTTCCCATTCTTCGATTCATTAATTTCTTTTAGATTTTTAAGTTTCTCGGTTTTTAGTTTTTCATTGCTTCAATTTTTCATTTTTTCGAGTTTTTAACTTTTCGAATAAACAATCGAAAAATTATAAAATAGAAAAATTGTAAAACTGAAAGAGTACAAAATGAAAGCTTCGAAATATAAAAAAATTGGAAATCAAGAACTTAAAAAATCAAAGATTGAAAATGTAAAAAATTGAATAAACAAAAAATTATAAAATCCAAAGAAACGTTGAAAAAAATAACGGTAATGGAAAAATGAAAAATTGTGATATAAAATCAAGAAAATGAAAATTACAAAATCGGGAAAATGAAAATATCGAAAATCTGAAAAATATAGAAATTGAAAAATTCCCAAAATTGAGATAGCGAAAACTTAAAAATCGAGAAATCGAAAAATTTTTAAAATTGGAAAATTGAGATATGAGAAATCGAAAATTCCAAAAATGGAAAAATTGAAACACATTAAAAAATTTAAATCGGCAACTCGAAACATAAAGATTATAAAAGGAAAAAATGAAAAATTTAAAAAATCGAAAATTTAAAATATATACTAGAAAAATCGAAAATTTTGAAAATCGAAAAACCAAGAAATCGAAATCGAAAACTTGAGACTTCAAAAGATCGAGAAATCGAAATAGGCCGAAATCGGAAAATTCAAAATTGAAATATTTACTCAAATAAAAGATAAACGGAAAAATCGAAAAACTCAAAAAAATCGATAAACCTAGATATGAGAAACAGAAAATTCCAAAAATCGAAAAATTGCAATACAGATTAAAAAATTTAAAAAATCGAAGTTAAAAAATCGTGGAAACAAATTCCATTCGATTTTCCGATTTTGCAATTTTTTGTTTTTTCAGTTTTTTCCAATTTTTAATTTTCCGATTTTTCAATTTTTCGAATTTTCTACTTTCCGAATAAACAAAATGGAAAAGTTATAAAATAGAAAAATTGTAAAATTGAAAACTCAAAATGAAAAAACGCAAAAGTGTAAAATGAAAGCTTCGAGAAATCGAAAAACTTGAGAAATTGAAGAAACGGAAAATTCAAAAATCGAAAGGTTAAAAATTGAAAAACTTAAAGATCGAAAAATTGCGGTCGAAAACACGAAAATTATAGTAAAATCATAAAAATACTAAGAAAAAAATTAGACTTCATAAAAAATTCAAAATTCAGAAACTGTTAAAAGCTCGATTCGTGGAGATTATAAGAGATTTACGAGTATATTGTACGAAATAAATCCATACGTCGCCCCGGTACGACGCCTATGGGTTTTCTAGTATGTGCGGCGATGATGGGTGACTCATCGTCGGTGACGGCGGCCGAACAGCGAACAACCTAGAAGCCGAAGTCGCGATAGGTGCTCCAGAATAAGCCTAGAAACGGTGACGGCTTCGAGAAGGACCGTGTGGCTCTTTAATTAGGAACTACCGTCGGGAGCGGGCAGTGAAGTCCAGAGAATGGGCGAAGTAGAGTCTAGTCAAATCCATTCGAGTCGGAATTATTCTGTACATAATCGCTGTATTCGTTGTGAAAATTTGAGTTACTAAGAAATAATTTCTTAATTCAGATGTATTCCATTGTAATAATACTCTCGGCTCGATTAAAATTTCTAACGATACTGTGTTTCAGAAATTATATGACTTAAAAAATACAACAATGGAAATTCTCATTTATTATTCCTTTACATAAATAAATAAAAAATAAATTACAAACTTATCGCTTGCTTGAGTTCTTCATGTAAAGTTCTTGATTCCATCGTTTCTGACCATTTCGTCCGAACCTTTAAAAAATAAATTTACATTCATCAACATGGTTTTCTACCTAACCGCAGTACACCAACAAACCTATTTGAGTATAGCAATTTTATAAACAACTCGATGGAACAAGGATATCGAGTAGGCGTACCGCAAGGCACTCATCTTGGTCCGATGCTTTTTTAATGTTTATTAATAACATTACAAGTTGTTTTTCTCGCTGCAATTATCTTATTTTCGCAGACGATTTAAAGTTGTATATGAAAGTTGTCAGTGTAGACGATGCCCTAAAAATCCAAAATGATATCGATTTTTTTTGGAAACGGTGTACTGAGAATTCCATGATTCCTAACATCGCTAAATTTAAAGCCATTTCGTTTACTAGAAATCATGAACCAAATAATACGTCATATTATCAATATTATCAATAACAATGTACTGTTGAAAACTGAGACAGTTTTGACAGTAGTTATTTTATTTATTTATGTTTTTACTTCCCGAGCGTAAGCAAAGGAAGTATTGTAATCGAGTCGGTCGGCCGACTCTCTACTTTTACGTTTTCTCGATCTTTCATGACCCCTAGAAGACGAAGAAATAGGTCTCCCATTTCCGTCTGTCTGTCCGTCTGTCCGTCTGTCCGTCTGTCCGTCTGTCCGTCTGTCCGTCTGTCCGTCTGTCCGTCTGTCCGTCTGTCCGTCTGTCCGTCTGTCCGTCTGCCGTCCCGGATTTTTATTAGACAGATAATCTCCGAAAGTACTCGACCGATTGTTGTGAAATTTTGTACTTATATTAAGAATATCATGTAGATGGTAAAACGCTAACCAAAATTTGTCTAATCATCCCCACCACTAATGCGATGACGTCACTTCAAAATTGTACATAGTAAATGGGTTTTCAATTGTATAAAATAACATAGTCCTACACATGTAGTTTACAACTCTGAATCGACTTTTCACCCGAACCGTCCAGATTTTTGGAAAAAAAATCAAAATTATAAAACATCATTTTGAAATTTAATTTTTAATCTGCTAACCAGAATGCTTTGAAATGTTGCAGATGTTTTAAGGCTATAAAGAGCATCATAAATCTTTAGTCAAAAAATATTTGCTTATCCCATCCAAAAACTTGATGACGTCAGCTCAAAAGTTTGTGGAATAAATCATATCTAAAATGTACAAAATATTATGAGTCTGTACTTGTGATGTATCACTCCATTCATATTTTTTGGATTTGCATATACAGGGTGACTCAAAAAAATTAATGAAGGCGTGTATTTATTTTATCGATTTAATCAGGAACTACAAAACCGAATGCTCTGAAATCTTGCAGATGTTTTAAGGTGATAAAGAGCATAATAAATCTTTAGTCAAAATATATTTGCTTATCCCCTCCAAAAACTTGATGACGTCAGCTCGAAAGTTTGCCGAATAAATCATATCTAAAATGTACAAAATATGATGAGTCTGTACTTGTCATTTATCACTCCATTCATATTTTTTGGATTTGCATATACAGGGTGATTCAAGAAAATAAATGAAAGCGTAAATTTATTTTACTGGTTTACTCAGGAACTACAAAACCGAATGCTTCGAAATCTTGAAGATATTTTAAAATTATCATAAGCATGGTAAATATTTGATCAAAATGTATTTGGTCGTCCCCCCTAAAAAATTTATGACGTCACCACAAAATTTTGCTGAATAAATCCTATCTAAAATGTACAAAATATGGAGAGTCTCTTCTTGTGATTTATCATTCCATTCAAATTTTTTCGATTTGCATATACAGGCTGACTCAAAAAAAATAATGAATGCGTAAATTTATTTTATTGATTTAATCAGGAACTACAAAACCGAATGCTTTGAAATCTTGCAGATGTTTTAAGGTTATAAAGAGCATAATAAATTTTTAGTCAAAATATATTTGGTTATCTTCTACAAAAAACTGATGACGTCAGCTCAAAAGTTTACCGAATAAATCGTATCTAAAATGTACAAAATATGATGAGTCTGTACTTGTGATTTATCATTCCATTCATATTTTTGGATTTGCATATGCAGGGTGACTCAAAAAAATTAATGAAGGCGTGAATTTATTTTATCGATTTAATCAGGAATTACAAAACCGAATGCTTTGAAATCTTGGGAATATTTTAAAGTTATTATAAGCATGGTAAACTTTTGTTCAAAATGCATTTGTTCATCCCTCCTAAAAAAATTGATGACGTCACCCTTAAATTTTGCTGAATAAATCCTATCTAAAATGCAAAAAATATGATGAGTTTGTACTTGTGATTTATCATTCCATTCATATTTTTTAGATTTTCTTAAGAGGTGGTTCAAAAAAATTAATGACGTCAATTTATTTTATTGATTAAATTAAAGGCAACACTTATTATTAGTATTACACCCCAACCAACCCAATTTGGTAGACACAAAATTTGTCAAAGGAAAAACTCGGTTGAAACATAAGGGTAGCACGCTTATTTACATCGACCTTAACATTACAGACCTGCATTTGTTTTATGCGCTCACTTGGTTCCGCGAATGCGAAATAGACATGTTTATAATCAACCAATTGTGAATTTCACCGTCAAGAATTAAAATAAAACCCAATGTTTTATATAATAAGCGGAAGTCGAAGCAATAAAACCGATGGTCGTTTTGTTTACAGTTTCTCTGTTTGACTCTCACGTATGCTGTTACGCTTGTCATCTTAAATTAAGAATGTTTATACATAAACGATTTTCAGTTGCCTTTCATATTAGTCTAGACAGCCGATTTTTGTCGGGCTACGTCACGATTATAGGTGGGGACGCGCTGGATCGCCGGGACTCAGTAGCGGCTGAATTTAATCGGTACTAATTCCATAAATATAATTAACGATTTATTAATCAAACGGCTAAGTAAATGAGAACGGGAATTAACAGCAGAGTGCAACGAAACAGCGTTATTCTAATCTCAAATAAACGAAGTGCAGTCCGCAACCGCAATGAATTCGCATCCCTTAACGAGCCGTACCGAGTTTGGCCTTGCCTAGCCCGACAGAAATCCGCTCTCTAGATATTTATTACACACCGGCGCCGTATACGTGAGTAAATTGTTTCGTTATTTTATTCATTATAAGAAATCAATATTCAAAACGACCCAATTCATTTTCCCGAAAATTTGGGAATACAATAATTTTATTCTTAGTATTACACTACATCTATCCCAACTGAAATACGTGTCCTTGCAAAAATGTTGATGACGTCATCACAATTTTTTTTTAAATTCCCACTACAAAAATGTAATGAGAAAAAAAAACACAATAGGCATGCAGTCGTCAAGTTTCTGACAGCGAGGGAAGTACTGTCTAAACTCTTTAGACCAATTTTTTTATGTCATAATTGAGTTTTTTTTTTTTAATGAATTATTATTTACCAAGGTGTTTGATGGATTTTTTTAGAAGGGTTTGTTTCTTCAGAGAAAATTTTAGTTTGTCACTGCTTAATTACCTAACCTGACCTGATCAGACAAGACCAAACCCGATCTGATCTGAGCTGACCTATTCTAACTGTGATTTTTGATACTTTAGGTACACAGGCCTCTACCAGTTTTTACAACCCACCCTCTTACTAAAAGACCCCGACCTCATCAAACAAATCACCGTGAAAGACTTCGACCACTTTGTAGACCACCGAAGCTTTATTTCAGAAGACATTGAACCCCTCTGGGCTAAAAACCTTTTCGCCTTAACCGGTAAAAAGTGGCACCAAATGCGAACAACCCTCAGTCCGGCTTTCACCAGCAGCAAAATGAAGTACATGTTCACTCTAATATCACAAAGTGGTGAACAATTCGGAAACCACTTTTTGAAAAAAGACGAAAACTTGATTACAATTGAAATGAAAGACACCTTCACTAGATTCACTAACGACGTCATCGCCAACACTGCTTTCGGAGTAGAATGCGATTCTTTGGGGGATCGCGAAAACGAGTTTTACCTCATGGGGAAAGAAATCACAAATTTTAGAGGCTTCTGGAAGACTTTGAAGATCTTTGGATATTTTCTGGTGCCGAGGGTACTTAAGGTGAATATCGTGGTGTCCAGTTTGAGTTACTTTAACATATTTTGTTTTTAGTTTTTCAAAGTTGGCATATTTTCCAACCGAGTTAGACACTTTTTCGATAATCTAATCAAAACGAATATCCAAAGTCGCGAAAAACACGGAATTGTCAGACCCGACATGATCCATCTTCTCCTAGAAGCTCGCCAAAAAGGTCTCAAACACGACGAAACGCAGCTTATTCAAGACACAGGTTTTGCCACAGTCGAGGAATCCGAAATCCACAAGAACCCCAAAAACGCAAAAGCAGAAATTACGGACCAAGACATGACCTCACAAGCTTTGCTTTTCTTCTTCGCTGGTTTTGACTCAGTTTCAACACTCATGTGTTTCATGTCGCACGAACTTGCGGTTAATCCAGATATCCAGAAACGACTAATGGAAGAAGTAGACGAAACTAGGGACGTTTGTAAGGGTCAAATCACCTACGAAGGTGTTCTTAGTATGAAGTATATGGACATGGTGGTCTCTGAAGCTCTAAGAAAGTGGCCAAGTTCTGTCGCTGTGGATAGAGTTTGTACAAAACCTTACACCATTGAGGCGAAATATCCAGATGAAAGACCTCTTCACTTGGAAAAGAATGCAGTTGTTTGGTTGCCTATTTTTGGGCTTCATCGAGACCCTAATCATTATCCGGAACCGGAGAGATTTGATCCGGAGAGGTTCAACGACGAGAATAAGATCAATGTTAAACCCTACACGTACTTGCCTTTTGGTTCAGGACCCAGAAACTGCATTGGTTCCAGATTTGCCCTACTCGAGATTAAAACGTTGTTCTTTTATATTTTGTCCCATTTCGAAATAGTTCCAGTGGAGAAGACCCAAATACCTCTAGTTATAAGCAAGAAAAAGTTTAATTTGACTGCGGAAAAAGGGTTCCGGTTGGGACTTAAGCGCCGGTCTATGTAATGAAATTGGGGTCAACCAAGTCAGGTTTGACGTTTCATATCGATTTTCAAGCTCTCGCAACTTCATTCAGGTTATGTTTATTATCAAGTAATGTAAAAATGAACACATTTATGTAAATAAATTCGCAAGTATGTATCACACTATGTTAATTTTCGTTGATATAAACAAGCGTGACCTTGACTGCTGAGTGTGACGTAATAACGTGAGCTGACCTATCCAAATTATAATGTAGTTTGTATTGTAAGTTACTGGAGCGTAATCAAGGACGAAACGCACTCCCAAACCGTGTCCACATGTGAATATTAAGTCAGTTGTTTAGTGGTCTGTGCTAGTGTAAACACAACAAATAATCAATAGGTTGGTATTTTTAACTTTCTCGGTTCAAGTTTCCACTTTTGCGCTCTGTATTTGATTGTGAGATAAATAAAACACTGCGCGATATCAAATTGGGTAATAGCTTTAATTGACACTAGTTAAAATTAAACTTCTTAAATGTGGAAATGAGGATGTCCTTAACATTGACAAATTCAGTTTGTCCTGTATCTTTAGTGTTATTACGTCTGCGTTATGTGGTGGTGGATAGTGGCGGCGGTGGCCTCAGCGGCCGCCACTCTGTGGTACTGGTTGATGATTTGTCCCCAAAAGTACTGGCTGGAAAGAGGGGTGAAGCCGAGAACTTCAGGGTTTCTCCTGGGGGATAATTTAGGAATCTTTCTGGGAAGACAGTCCCTTGTGGAAATGGTCGAAGTGGTTTATAAAAGCTGTCCAAATACTAGGTGGGTATCAATTTTGTGCTATCACATCACTGTACTAACCTAATTGTAGGTACGTAGGCACCTACCAGTTTTTCCGGCCAAGCCTTCTGGTCAAAGATCCAGATCTCATCAAGCAAATCACCGTCAAAGACTTTGACCATTTCTTGGACCACCGAAGTCTAATTCCAGAAGACAGTGAACCCCTATGGTCCAAAAATCTGTTTGCTTTGACTGGTAAAGCCTGGCGCGATATGCGATCAACCCTCAGTCCGGCTTTCACCAGCAGCAAAATGAAGCACATATTCACTTTAATATCGCAAAATGGTGAACAATTCGTCAATCACTTTTTGAAAAAAGACGAAAAACTTATTACGGTTGAAATGAGAGATATTTTCACTAGATTCACTAACGATATCATCGCCAGTGCTGCCTTTGGAATAGAGTGCGACTCTTTGAGCAACAGGAACAACGAGTTCTACCTCATGGGAAAAGAAACCACAAATTTCAGCGGCTTCAGGAAAATTTTTTCGTTCTTTTTGATAATGCTAATACCTAAAGTGGCTAAGTTATTGAAGATGACAATGTTTTCACAAGAAGTTAACAATTTCTTCACTACTATAGTCAAGAGTAGTATTCGCAGCCGCGAACAACTTGGAATAGTAAGACCCGACATGATCCATCTTCTCCTAGAAGCTCGCAAAAATGGCCTCAAACACGAAGAAACTCAGCCTGCTCAAGACACAGGTTTTGCTACAGTCCAGGAATCGGAAATCCACAAGGACCCCAAAAATGCGAAAGCGGAAATCACAGATCAAGACATGACGTCTCAAGCTCTGATTTTCTTTTTCGCTGGTTTTGAGTCAGTTTCAGCTGTAATGTGTTTCATGGCACACGAACTTGCGGTTAATCCAGAGGTCCAGGAAAGACTCATCCGGGAAATAGATGAAACTTTGGAAGGTTGTAAAAGTGGAGTCACCTATGAGGCGCTTCTTGGTATGAAATACATGGATATGGTGGTTTCTGAAACAATGAGGAAGTGGCCTAATCCTGTTGTGGATAGGATTTGTACGAAAGCCTACACCATAGAGCCGAAGCTTCCACACGAGAAACCTGTACACTTGAAAGTAAACGATGCGGTATGGATTCCCGTTTTTGGTATTCACAGAGATCCTGAATACTATCCAGAACCAGATAAATTTGATCCTGAAAGGTTCAACGATGAAAACAAGGTCAATATTAATCCGTACACGTACATGCCTTTTGGAGCCGGACCTAGGAATTGTATTGGTTCTAGGTTTGCTCTACTGGAGATTAAAGCGTTATTTTTTTATGTTTTGTCACATTTTGAAATAGTCCCAGTGGAGAAGACACAGATACCTTTGGTTTTAAGTAAGAAGAAGCTAAATATGACTGCGGAGAACGGGTTCTGGTTAGGGCTTAAACGTCGCTCTAAAGTCTAAAACTTGACACTTAAAATGTTCATTTTATAAGATATTATACGATTTGTTTAGTAAAAATCATGTGTTTTGTATCACCAATAAAATAAAAAGAAACATGATAAAGATTTGCATGGTGAGTGGTGTTTGAATTTTCTAAAATAACATACTCCTGTACTTGTGGTTTATGAATCCAGATTTTCGCAAAATATCAAATTTTTAGATACATATAACATTTTACACTAATTTGAAAGATGCGATGAGCAAGCGAAGGTCGCAGGTTCTATTCCTCGATAGGCCACTTTTTTTCTCTTACTCTGTTTTCTGAAAGCCTGGATTTGTTTAAGTGTTTAATACAAAGTATTCAGTATTTTACCTCTAGTCTTGAAAAGTGCTTTTCAAATTATAGTTGCAATAAGTAGTTCAGGTTAAATTTTTGAATTGTTAGTCTTAAAAAAAATCAGTTGCATATATATCCGTACTAAAAGAAATTTATCACAAGGACAATACACTGACACTGACAAACCATCACAAAAAAAAGTGCAATGAAAAAAAAAGGAAGTCCATAAAAAGCGACAAAATAAGAATAAAAACCTCTACAAAAAATGCGATAAAAAATTCACAAACAAGGCGGTTTTAAAAAGTTCCAGTAAAAAAACGACTACAAAAGTGAAAAAAAAGGCCGTAGAAATGGCACAAAAAAGTGATAAAAAAGTGACTTCCAAAAAGTGACGGAAAACTAAAAAATTTGAGAAAAAAGGTCGCTAAAAATGTGATTAATAGAAGGGAACCAAAAAGTTCACAAAAATATAACGGAAAAAAACAATGCGGATATGAGAAGAAGTCCGCAAAAAACGACAAGAAAAATCGAAAACAGATGACAAAAAAGAGACAGTCAGAAGTGATTAAAGAGGGAACCAAAAAATGTAATAAAAAGAAAGGAGTTAAAAAGTTAAAAAAAGAAAAAAACGACAAAAAGCCCAATAAAAAACGATAAAAATGCACAAAAACGAATAACATAAATCCATAAATATTCAACCAAAAGGGCCACAACAAAAATATCACAAGAGGCCAAGAGGGCATAAAGAAGGACCAAAAAACAAGGCAAAAAGATCAACAAAACATGCGACTACAAAAAAGTGCCAAAAAACTTGATGAGATTAACAAAAGGGTGTTAAAAAATGTCACAAAAGAACTCAATGAAAAAAAAAACGAAGAGAAAGTCTATCAAAAGGCGACAAAAAATGCAAAAATAGGAAAAAAAGCTACTACAAAGTGACAAAAATGGAACCAAGAAATGCAACATAAATGCGACTAAAAGAAGGTAGTCAAAAAGATGAAGATCACACAAAGAATAACACAAAAAAACGCTCCAACAAAGGGACAAAAAATGTCCATAAAAAATAGGCGTTAACAAGTGTCAAAAAATGATATTAAAGCGAATCCAAAAAAACGCCATAAAAGTCCACAAAAATGCGACTTCAAAAAAGTGAGAAAAAGACCGCAGTAAAGGCAAAAAAAGTGCCAAAAAAGTTCACAAAAACAGGGCGACTTCAAAAAAGTGACGAAAGTAAAAAAAATCGACAAAAAGATTGCTAAAAATGTAACTAATAGAAGGGAGCCAAAAAAGATCAAAAAATATAACGGAAAGAAAGAATCAAAACACGAAAAGTCCTCAAAAAAAGGAGACAAAAATGCCAAAATAGGGAAAAAAATAAGTCTACTACAAAAAGGGACTTAAAAAGGATCCAAGAAATGCAACAAAAATGCGACTAAAAGAAAATGAAGATCACACAAGAGATAACACAAAAAAAGGGACAAAAAGTCCATGAAAAATTGCAACACAAAATAGACGACAATAGAAGTCGACAATCACACAAAAAACGCTGCAAAAAAGCAATAAGAATTCTATGAAAATATGCAACAAAAAATAACAAGAAGTGCCCATTAAAACGAAACCAAAAGAAACGCGACAAGAAATCAACAAAAAAGCTCTTACAAAAAAGTGACAAAAAATGCCATAGAAAAGGCCAAAAAGGTGACAAAATTGTCCACAAAAATGGGCGACGTGAAAAAAATGACAGAAAACTAAAAAAATCGACAAAAAAGGTCTCTAAAAACATGACTGATAGAAAGGAGCGAAAAAAGATCACAAAAATATAATGGAAAGAAACATTGAAAATATGAGAAGAAATCCACAAAAAAAACGACAAAAAAAGTCGAAAACAGATGACAAACCAAGGGAGTCAAAAAAGGTCGCAATTCAAAAACAGAAATTCATAAAAATTCAACCAAAAGGGCCAAAATAAAAATATCAAAAAAGGATATAAAAAAAGGACCAAGAAACAAAACAAAAAATACACAAAAAAGGCGACTACAAAAAAATTACAAAAAATAAAAAATGAGAAAAGAAGTTCATGAGATCAGGAGGACGTTGAAAAATGTCACAAAAGAGCTCGATGGAAAAAAAATGAAGAGGAAGTCTATAAAAAACATAAAATAAAACTCCAAAATAGGGCAAAAATAAGCAACAAAAAATAGGCGACAATAAAAAGTGACGGTCACACAAAAGATAACACAAAAAAGGCTACAAAAAAGCAATAAAAAGTCTCTGAAAATATGCAACAAAAAGTAAGCGACAACAAGAAGTGCCAAAAATGGGCATTAAAACGAAACCAAAAAAACGCGAAAAAATCAACAAAAAAACCACTACAAAAAGGCCTTAGAAAAGGTCAAGAAAAATGCCAAAAAAGTTCACAAAAATAGGCGACTTCAAGAAAGTGACAGAAAAATCAATAAAAAAGGTCGCTAAAAATATGAGTGATAGAAAGGAGTCAAAAAAGATCACAAAAATATAACGGAAAGAAACAATGAAAATATGACAAAAAAATCGAAAAAAAATTACAAAAAAAGACAACTAGTATAAAAAGTGATTGACAAAGGGTACCAAAAATGTGACAAAAATAAGGGAATAAAAAAAGAACAGAAAAAGCAACAAAAATCCCAACTAAAGACGATTAATAAGGACAAAACGCAACAGCAAAAATCCATAAACATTCGACCAAAAAAGTGCGAAAAACAAAAAAGTTGCTACGTTTAACAGAAGGCAGTTAAAAAATGTCATAAAAGAATCCAATAAAAAAAATGAGGAGAAAAATTAAAAAAAGGCGACAATAATGCTAAAATAAGTCTACTACAAAAAGTGACTTAAAAAAGAACCAAGAAATACAACAAAATTGCGACTAAAAGAAAATAATCAAAAAGAGGAAGATCACGAAAAATATAACACAAAAAATTAGTGACCTCAAAAAAAAGGATAGAGAACTAAAAAAAATCAACAAAAAAGTTGCTAAAGATAATGAAAATATGAGCCCACAATAAAATTAACAACAAAATGGGAAAACGGATGACAAAAAAGAGAAAACCAGTAGAAGAAGAAATTAAAAAGAAGGGCCAAAATATGTAAAAAGGAAAGAAGTCAAAAAGGGTCGCAAAAAGAGAACAAAAAACAGAACAAAAAGCTACAAAAAGCCCAATAAAAGACGATGAAAAAAGGGACAAAAATGCAACAAAAATTCATACAAAATTCAATCAAAAAAGGCCACAAGAAAAATGCCAGAAGAGGCATAAAAAGTGACAAAAAAGTTGCTGGGTGAAACAGAAAGGAGTTAAAAAATGTCGCAAACGAACCCGAAAAAATGAGGAAAAGTCCATAAAAAAGGCGAGCATAAAAGCCAAACCAGGAAAAAATAAGGCCATTACAAAAAGTGATTAAAAAACATGAATACCACAAAAAAACAGAAAAACGCTACAAAAAAGCGATAAAAAGTCCATGAAAATTTGCAACAAAATATAGGCGACAACAAAAAGTGACGAAAAAGGACATTCAAACGAAACCAAAAAAACACAACAAATGTCCACAAAAAGCGACCACAAAAACGTGACAAAAAAGTTCACAAAAAAAGGTGACCACTAAAAAGTAACAGAAAACTAAAAAATCGACAGAAAATGTTGCTAAAAGCTATGAAAATTTGAGTTCACAAAAAAACGAAAAGAAAATGCGAAAACAGATGACATAAAAGAGTTAGCCAATAGAAAAAGTGTTAAAAAAAGAAGCTGCCAAAAAATTTAAGAAAAAGAAGAAAGTCAAAAAAGGTCACAAAAAAGAGAACGAAAAAGACAACAAAAAGCGACAAAAAGCACAATAATATACAATAAAAAGGGACAAAAAAGGAACAACATAATTTTATACAAAATTCAATCAAGAAAGGGCGTAACCAAAAAACCAAAAAAGGCATTAAAAAAAACCAAAAACAAGGCAAAAAGTTCGCAAAAGAGGCGATTACAAAAAAGTGTCAAAAAAGGACATTCAAAGGAAACCAAAAAAACGCAACAAAACAAAAAAGTCGCTAAAAACAATGAAAATATGAGTCCCCAAAAAAGAAAGAAAATGCGAAAACGGATGACAAAAAAAACAGTCAGAACAAAAAGTGATTAAAACGAGGAGGCCAAAGGTGTAAGAAAAGGAAGAAAGTAAAAAAGGTCACAAAAAGACAACAAAAAAGACACAAAAAGTCCAATAAAAGAGGATAAAAAAGCAACAAAAAACGATACAAAATTCTACCAAAAAAGGCCACAACAAAAATGCCAAAAAAGGCATAAAAAATAAACAAAAACAAGGCAAGTCCACAAAAAAGTGCCAAAAAACAAAAAATGACAAAAAAAGTTGATGCGTTTAACAGAAGGGAGTCAAAAAATGTCACAAAAGAAGCTGGAAAAAAATTGAAAAATCCATAAAAAATGCGCCAAGGAAACCGGAACAGGAAAAAAATAGGCCCACTACAAAAAGTGACTTAAAAAAGACTAAAAGATAGTACAAAGAAAAACGCTACAAGGAAAGCGACAAAAAGTCCATGAAAAATTGCAACAAAATATAAGCGACAACATAAAGTATTAATTTATAATAATTACTATTAAATACTTAAATATGGGCGCCACAAATTTCAGCACTTGATGTGACTTCATCCATTTATTAACCAGAACAACAGAAGAATTTATTAAATATTGTGAAAACTTGGACAGTCGGTTTACTTTGTTGGTTAATACTAACTGAGTTCTGCTTAGCGTTAGTTCGTGACACGGAAAGTTTGGTTTTTAGAATAAAAATAATTGTGTACACTTTTAGTTTTCTCATCAGTTAGTTTTAATGTACTCTACAATACTAATTAAATAATAGAATTAGGTACAGATTGAACTAATCAAACCAACCAAAGCTTTAGTGCAGAAGAGGGTGACCGCTGTTTGTTTTATTTTGCGAAAAGGAGACGAAATAAATTGTTATTAAACTTATTGTGTATTGACTCTTAAGTGGTATAACTGTGAGTCATTTCAATTAGCATATAACAGAGAAGGACAATGCACCTTAGAGTTCGATTTTATTGTCATTCTCTGTTTAAAATTACTTAACACTAATTTATCTTAGTCTATATCGTAATGTATCTTCGTCATCAAACTTTGTGTCACACACAAGGTTACAAAATGTGTTTACGAGAGGATTTTTTTTAGTTTTTAGACCTACAAATGTTTAAGAAAAAATTTTGGTTTTGAGATGTCCTTGACCGGAAATAAAAAATAGAAACGACCTTTTGGTGGTTTACTCAAACTGGTTTGTCTCCATGCAGGAAACAGTCGAGTCGTTGATCCGAGATGCATCAGCTTGTCTGAAGAAGTTTTAGTCCTTTGCTGTTGTTTGTCCACGTGACATTGACTTATGAAATAGGTGTTAAGGTTGAGGTCTTGCGGCAAGAGTTGGAAATTCTACCTTAGTTAAGTTTTCAGTGTGGGTTTTTGACAACTAGAACGTGCCAATTGTGTTGTTTAAAATAAACAGTAGTGTTTAAGGTGTGGCCTTGCGTATTTCTAACTTGTTCGTGAGTACAAATTTGCATTGACGCAAATCAAATAAATTGAGGAATTCGACATAAATACTTGTTAATCATGTTGTGGCTACTCGCTTTGATAATTTTCGCCACTGTTGCCTACTGGAAGCTTAAATCCTCCCCCAGGACTGAAAAAATCCTGAAACAAATTGTCCATGGGTCGTGCATCGGTAGTATTTGGAAAACCGTAACGGGGAAAAAATCGTTCGCTGATATGATTCAAGACGCCTACTACATGGAACCCAACACCAGGTACTCATTTCACCAAATCCGCCAAAAATCAACTTGTCTTTCAGATATTCCACGTTCTACCAGTTCTTCAACCCAGTTCTCCTAGTTAAAGACCCAGATCTTATCAAACAAATGCTGGTGAAAGACTCCGACCACTTTATGAACCACCAACACTTCATCCCCCCTGAAGGCGACCCAATATTTTACAAAAATCTGTTTTCTATGGAGAACCAAGAATGGCGCGATATGAGGTCCAGGCTCACCCCAGTCTTCACCAGTAGCAAAATGAAATACATGTTCTCCCTAATCACCCAAAACTGCGATAAATTCGTTAAACATTTCTTAAGAAAGGAGGAAACTGTGGTCACTGTTGAAATGAGAGAGATAATGGCAAGATTCTCAAACGATGTCATTTCAAATATAGTTTTTGGGGTAGAAGTAGACGCTGTGAATAACCCCAACGACGAAGTGTATTTAAATGGAAAGAACTTGACAAACCTCACTGGTCTAACACGAGTGTTGAAGTTTCTCGGCAGCTTTCTAGTCCCCAAACTATACAAAGTAAGTATCTCTATCTGCGTGTTCTAGTTTGACAATAATTCTTTCACCAGATTTTGAAAATATCCCCCTTCCCGGAAGCCTCAATCAAGTTCTTCAGCTCTCTAGTCCAAACCAACATCGACGTTCGCCAGAAAAACAACATCGTGCGTCCAGACATGATCAACATTCTTCTAGACGCCCGAAAAAACGCCTTCCAACCTGAAGAGTCTGCACCAGACACAGGTTTCGCAGTCATGCGAGATTCCGAAAACTTCAAACTTTCCAAGACCAAAATCGACATCACGGATCTTGAAATCGCGGCTCAAGTGATAACGTTTTTCTTCGCTGGGTTTGAAACCGTGTCTGGAATGTTGTCTTTCATAGCGTACGAACTTGGAGCCAACCCGGAGGTCCAGCAACGACTAATTGGTGAGGTGGATCAGACTTTGGAGGCGTGTGGTGGCCAAATCACGTACGAAGCTATTTTAAGCATGAAGTATATGGACATGGTCGTGACCGAAGCTTTAAGGAAATGGCCCGTCATTATACTCACGGATCGAATGTGTACTAAACCGTATACAATCGAGGCGAAGTACCCGGATGAGAAGTCTCGGCATGTTAAAGAAGGGTCGTCGGTGTGGTTACCCGTTTTTGCTATCCATAGAGATCCTGAGAATTATCCAGAGCCGGATAAGTTTGATCCAGAGCGGTTCAGTGATGAGAATAAAAGGACGGTTAAACCCTATACGTATTTTCCGTTTGGGGTGGGACCTAGAGGGTGTCTTGCTTCAAGACTTGGACTCCTGGAAGCCAAAACATTATTTTTCTATATTTTGACCAATTTTGAGATCGTTCCAGTTGAGAAAACGCAGATACCTTTGAAGATTAGTAAGAAGAGGATAACCATGAATGCGGAAGGAGGGTTCTGGTTTGGGCTGAAACGTCGTACTGAGTTGTCCACTCCATCAGCATAGTCTGTGTCAAGTTGTGATTTTTTCTTAAATAAAAAATTATGAGTAGGTCGATTTTTGACAACCATTTTTTTATTGCATTGAAATAAACATCAGTGTTTATTAGTTCGACGAATTTATTATCAATCAACAACTCTTCGTACTTGGTAAAAAATACATTTACTCCATCACGTACTAACAATTAAAAGTACGATTTGGTATTCTGCATTTCCATGTTGTATTAACATAACACTATTTATTTACACTGTGGTAGCAATGCAAAAACAGTTTCTCTCAAGCTGCTCTATCTTAACCACCATAGATGAAAATACAGCTATGTATAAACCATGTTGTGGCTTCTGCTTCTAATCATTTTTGCTGCTTTGGTGTTCTGGAGGGTAAAATTGTCCCACTGGTCTAAAAAATGCTCCAAACAAATCGTCCACGGTTGGTGGTTGGGTAGCATCTGGAAAGCAATCACAAGTAAAGAAACTTTCCCTGAAATGATACTAAATGCTTACAACATGGAACCCAATAGCAGGTACATTAATTTACTTATCAAACATATTTCAAGTCAAGGTAACTTTTAGATATTCCACCTTTCACCAACTATTACATCCAGTTCTCCTAATTAAAGATCCAGACCTCATCAAACTAATCACAGTGAAAGACTTCGACCACTTCGTGAACCACCACTCCATGGTTCTTCCACAATGTGACCCAATCTTTTCCAAAAACCTGCTACTACTGAAAAACCAAAACTGGCGCGACGTAAGATCAATTCTCGCCTCAGTTTTTACAACCAGCAAAATGAAATACATGTTCTCCTTAATTACCCAAAATTGTGACAACTTTGTTAGCCATTTTTTGCAAAAAAATGAACCACTGGTGACTGTAGAAATGAAAGAGATAATGACAAGGTTCATGAATGACGTGACTGCTAGTATGACTTTTGGTATAGAAGTAGACGCGATGAATAACCCTGAAGATGAATTTTACTTAAAAGGAAAAGATTTGACAGATCTTTCTGGTCTATCCAGAGTTTTGAAGTTTCTTGGAAGTTTTATAGCACCCAAAATCTACAAAGTAAGTATGTACCAAAATGTTTCTACTTAGTTTGAAAGTAAATCGTTTCTTCAGGTGTTCAAAATATCGCCTTTTCCTCAAAAAACAATCCAGTTCTTTGCCGCGATAGTCACAAACAATATTTACATTCGCCAAAAACAAAAAATACGTGAGGCCCGACATGATCAATATTCTTCTAGAAGGTAGAAAAAACCCGTCGAAAGATGATAAAATCAAAATAACAGATTTAGAAATCGCAGCTCAAGTGATAGCTTTTTACTTTGCTGGTTTTGAAACCATGTCTGGATTATTGTCATTCATGGCTTACGAACTTGGTGCCAATCCAGAAGTCCAGAAACAGCTCATTCTTGAAGTAGATAACACTTTTGACGCTTGTGGTGGCAAAATCACGTACCACGCTATTTCGGGTATGAAATATATGGACATGGTTGTGTCTGAAGCTTTAAGGAAATGGCCTGGGATCATGGTCACTGATCGAGTTTGCAGTAAGCCATATACAATCCCGCCAAAGTTTCCAGGCGAAAAGTGTGTTCATTTGTCAGAAGGTTCATCTGTATGGTTACCCATTTTTGCTATCCATAGAGATCCTAATTATTATCCGAATCCGGAACGTTTTGACCCGGAGCGTTTCAATAATGACAATAAAAGGAAGCTGAAACCATACACGTATTTGCCGTTTGGTGTGGGACCTAGAGGGTGTATTGCTTCAAGACTAGGACTCCTGGAAGCCAAGACGTTATTTTTTTATATTTTGGCCAATTTTGAAATAGTTTCTGTTGACAAAACTGAAATACCGTTGAGGCTTATTAAGAAGAGGATAGCTATGAAAGCAGAAGGAGGGTTCTGGTTTGGGCTTAGGCGTCGTACAATTATATAATTATTTTATTGTAATTTTTGCTCAACTTTTGTATTATTATTCATGAAAATTTTCAAGAAGAACGAATATATTATATTATTGAAAAAAAAAAATCAGGTTAACCTTTCGTCTATAAAACTCCTTGACGCATTAGAAACAGGTTTTTTACGAACAACCCGTTGTTTCAAGCGTCATCATAAATTCGAATTTTTAGTTGAAAAGTCTCAGGGGTTGTTTTTGGACTAAACAGTGCATTTCAAAGCATGACTGTGGACCCTACGCATTTTTGACTCCTCATACGTCAGTAAGTATAAATATTTATACAAATTTATTGACGCACATAAAAAAAATCGAAGGTCAAAAAACACTCGGTGCTTTATTTTATTGTTTTTAACTGACAATAATAAATGATTACTTCAATAATTTAAGTTGTAACTCTTCTAAATTTCTTAAGCCATATTTTTACAACGAAAAGTAACTAAAACCATTTTAGACATGTTTTACGTTCCTTGTTGTCGAAATAAGTCTACACATATTAAGAAAAAAAAGCAAAATATAGAACCGCCCACCCACCCAATCTCAATATTGATGATTTTTTTTATTCCTCGTTAGCCAAATGGGCTTCTCTGCAAAATCCTTATTTCCATACGAGAAATTATAAACATGATTTTGAATATCGTGTTGTTCAAAGAATACTATGTACCTATATTAAGAAAAAATTAAAGCCAAAAATTAAGCCTCATCCATACCTGACCTGATCTAAATATGTAGTAATGTAGTGGGGGTGCAGCCAAATTGCAAAATCCATACTTCCCTACAAAAATTTACCATTTTAAACGTGTGTTAAGTTTCTAAGAATTAAAAAATCATCACAGTTGACATGGGGTGGGTGGGCGGAGTTTATATTTTGCTTTTTTTTCTTAGTATAGATAATATTCTTTGAACAACACGATACTCAAAAACATGTTTTTAATTTCTATTTCTAAGTATTTTGCAGCTAAGCTCCGCCTCCTTGATTCACGGCGAATAAAAAAATTTTGCCTTTGTGTTTCAATATGTCTAGACTTCTTTTCACAACATGAAACTTAAAACATGTTCAAAATTAAAAATTTGTATAAGGAAATATCATTTTGCAATTACGTTCCGCCCATAATTGCAAAATCCATATTTCCTTGCAAAAATTTACCATTTTTGCCGGATTCGAAGTTTCATGTTCTGAAAAGATGGCTATTTATATTAAGAAAAAAAAACGGCAAAATATAAGCCCCGCCCACCCACCCTATTCCAATTCTGATGATTTTTTTATTCGTCGTAAGCCGAGAGGTGGAGCTTAATTATTGGAAAATCCTTATTTTTCTACGAGAAATTACCATGTGAAATATGTACTTACATAAGTAATTGTGTTATACAAAGTAAACTATATGAATTAATTAAAAAAGGAAACCGAAAGAGAGGCCCCACCCATCCGTTTCGATCTCAATCGTGATGAATTTTTCATTCGTTGTCAGACTGAGAGGCAGAGCGTAATTGCAAAATCCTTATTTCCCTACAAAAATTTACCATTTTGAACTCGTATTGAGTTTCTAAGAACTAAAAAAATCATCACAATTGAGATGGGGGGGGGGCTTTATATTTTGCCTTTTTTTCTTAATATAGATAATATTCTTTGAACAACACGATACTCAAAAGCATGTTTTAATTTTTTGTAAAGAAATAAGTATTTTGCAACTAAGCTCCGCCTCCTTGGTTCACGGCGAATAAAAAAATCATCAGAATGGAGATAGGGCGGGTGGGCGGGCTTACATTTTGCCTTTGTGTTTCAATATGTGTAGCCTTCTTTTCACAACATGAAACTTAAAACATGTTCAAAATTAAAAATTTGTATAAGGAAATATCGATTTTGCAATTAGGTTCCCCCCATAATTGAAAAATCCATATTTCCTTGCAAAAGTCTACCATTTTAGCCATGTTTTAAGTTTCTTGTTGTGAAGAGATGGGTATGTATATTAAGAAAAAAAGGCAAAATATAAGCCCCGCCCACCCACCCTATTCCAATTCTGATGAATTTTTTTATTCGTCGTAAACCGAGCGGCGGAGCTTAATTGTAAAATCCCTATTTTTCTACGAGAAATTACCATGTGAAATATGTACTTACATAAGTAATTGTGTTATATAAAATAAATTATATGAATTAATTAAAAAGAAAACCAATAGAGACTCACACCCATCCGTCTCGATCTCAATCGTGATGAATTTTTCATTCGTTGTCAGACTGAGGGGCGGAGCGTATTTCCAAAATCTATATTTCCCTACAAAAATTTCCATCTTAAACGTATATTGAGTTTCTAAGAATTAAAAAAATCATCACAATTGAGATGGGGTGGGTGGGCGGGGTTTATATTTTGCCTTTTTTTTTTAATATACATAATATTCTTTGAACAACACGACACTCAAGAACATGTGTTTAATTTCTTGCAAAGAAATAAGTATTTTTCAGTTAAGCTCCGCCTCTTTGCTTCACGACGAATAAAAAAAATCATCGGAATTGAGACAGGGCGGGAGGGCGGGCTTACATTTTGCCTTTTTGTTTTAATATGTGTAGACTTCTTTTCCCAACAAGAAACTTAAAACATGTTCAAAATGGAAAATATCTATAAAGAAATATCGATTTTGCAATTAGGTTCCGCCCCATAATTGCAAAATCCATATTTCATTGCAAAAATGTACCATTTTAGCCATGTTTTAAGTTTCTTGTTGTGAAGAGATGGGTATGTATATTAAGAAAAAAAACGCAAAATATAAACCCCACCCACCCACCCAATTCCAATTCTGATGGTTTTTTTGTGTCGTAACCCGAGAGGTGGAACTTAATTGTAAAATCCTTATTTTTCTACAAGAAATTACCATGTGAAATATGTACTTACATAAAGTAATTGTGTTATACAAAGTAAACGATATGAATTAATTAAAAAAGAAAACCAAAAGAGAAGCCCCACCCGTCCGTTTCGATCTTAATCGTGATGAATTTTTCATTCGTTCTCAGACTGAGGGGCGGAGTGTAATTGCAAAATCCATATTTCCCTACAAAAATTTACCATTTTAAACGTGCATTAAGTTTCTAAAAATTAAAAAAATTATCACAATTGAGATGGGGTGGGTGGGCGGGGTTTATATTTTGCCTTTTTTCTTAATATAGATAATATTCTTTGAACAACACGATACTCAAAAACTTGTTTTTAATTTCTTGTAAAGAAATAAGTATTTTCCATTTAAGCTCCCCCTCCTTGGTTCACGGCGAATAAAAAAAATCATCAGAATGGAGATAGGGCGGGTGGGCGGGCTTACCTTTTGCCTTTGTGTTTCAATACCTGTAGACTTCTTTTCACAACATAAAACTTAAAACATGTTTAAAATGGAAAATTGGTATCAGAAAATATCGCTTTTGCATTTGGGCTTAAAACATGTTTTAAGTTTCTTGTTGAGAAAAGATGGCTATGTATATTAAGAAAAAAAAAGACAAAGTATAAGCCCCGCCCACCACCCTATCTCAATTGTGATGATTTTTTATTCGTTGTGAGCCAATTTCTCAACAAGAAATAAAAAACCTGTTTTTGAGTATCGTGTTGTTAAAACAATAGTAACTAGAACTTGAAAAAATCTTTTAAGCTTTTAGTGTTTTATTTTTTATGAATTTGAAAAAGCCGTAGTGTTTTTTTTAATTCAGAAGAGTCTTGACTACCCATGGTGTATTATTTTGGGAGCCCATGGAGATTTTTTTTGTAAATTATTTCAAACAATTTTCGGGGATTTGGTGTTCTATTTTTGTAAAATTCTGACCAGACCTGTTTTTGAGTTAATTTTGAGATCCCGATTTTTTTTTGGAAAATTTTAAAACAATCTTGAGGTTCTAGGTATTCCTGTTTGGAAAGAATTTGAAAGTGCTTTGGAGCCTCTACTGTCTTTTCTTATAATAATTGAATTAAATTTCTTAGAGGATACGTCATTTGCTAAAGTCTTTGCATCAGTCTTATGTTAGTAGCCCCAGCCGCCCACCCTCTATTTTCTTAAAGAATATGTCATCTGCCAAAATCAGTTTTATCTTAGTAGGTCCTAGGCCCGCCCACCCGCCGTCTCTTTTTTTAGAGGATAACTCATTTGCCAAAATCACTGTTATCTGAGCAGGAACTAGCCCCGCCCACCCACCCTCTGTTTTCTTAGAGAGTATGCCATTTACTGAAATTAGTCTTATCTACCTATCTATTTTAAGAGTTTTGAGACACACGCATACACGTGTTATTGTTGCAGCTTCGTGCCATGTTGTGGCCATTGATTCTACTTACTTTTACTGCTTTTGCCTTCTGGAAACATAAATCGTCCCACTGGACCCAAAAATTGTTGAAACAAATTGTTCATGGATCTTGGCCAGGTGCTGCATGGAAAACAATAACGAGCAAAGAATCGTTCTGTGAAGTGGTTCAAAGCGCCTACTATATGGAACCCAAAACCAGGTAGATCAATCTATTTCTATCCTATAATCTATATATAAATTACAAAACTTTGTCTTTCAGGTATTCTGCTTTCTACCTATTCCCTCACCCAGCATTTTTAATAAAAGACCCAGATCTCATCAAACAAGTTCTGGTAAAAGACTTCGATCATTTCGTAAACCACAAAAACCTCATTCCACCAGAAAGTGACTCAATATTCTGCAAAAATATATTTTTACTTTTACAACGATCTGATGGCGAATATTGCTTTTGGTATAAAAGTAGATGCCTTAAATGACCTTAAAGACGAATTCTACCTAACGGGAAGACACCTTACAGATTTTTCTGGGAGAGGTAGAGTTTTGAAAATCCTTGGAAGCTTCATAGTGCCTCAACTTTACAAAGTAAGTATTTAGATGTCGTTCCTTGTTTGAAATTTGTATTTATCAGGTGTTCAAAATATCTTCACTTCCTCAAAAAACCATTCAGTTCTTTTTCGCAATAGTCAAAGACCTTATCAAACGTCGCCAAAAGCACAACATAATGAGACCCGACATGATCAATATTCTTCTAGAAACCAGAAAAAGTGGGTTGGAAGATGTTGACAGTAATAAACCATCCAAGACTAAAATGGTCATAAACTCATTCTGGAAATTGATGAGACCAAGCTATCCTGGGAATGAAATATATGGACATGGTTGTGTCTGAAACGTTACGAAAATGGCCTATAGTTGTCATAATCGACCGAGTTTGTACTAAACCATACACCATAGAGGTGAAGTATCCAGACGAAAAGCCTGTACACTTCAAAGTAGGGCCACCAATATTCGGACCCGTTTTCGCTATCCATAGAGATCCTAACTATTATCCAGAGCCAGAACGCTTTGATCCAGGGCGTTTCAATGATCAAAATAAACGAAAAATTAAACCCTACACGTATCTACCTCTTGGGAAGGGACCCAGAGAATGTACGGCTTTAAGACTCGGACTATTAGAAGCCAAAACGTTATTTTTTCATATTTTGTCTAGTTTTAAAATAGCTGCAGTTGAGAAAAGTCCAATACCTTTGAAGATTACTAAGAAAAGGATGACCATGTATGCGGAAGGAAGGTTTAAATGTCGTACGAGGACATAAATTCATTGTAACTTTTGTTTACTTTTTTTAATAAATGCTTAAGTCCAAGATAAAAAAAAATATTATTGTAAGCAATTGGTCACATGCACGAAATAGTAAAATCAACACGTACTTATCGTGTTGTTGCAATTACAGTTTTAATCACCATAACCATTCCAATTACGATATCAATTTCAACAAAGTTTCAGTTATTCCACCATGTTTTGGACAGTAGCAGCGTGCTTCCTCATTATATTTCTATATTGGAAAATAATTTCCCGCTACAACCACTGGTCAAAAAAAGGAATATCCCAAACTCCCTATGGTTTCATATGGGGTGATATATGGCCACTAATGTTTCGAAAATGTAGCTTCGGTGAAATGCTTCAATCTCTCTACCAAGACCACCCCAAACTAAGGTAAGTTCTCCGTCACCACCCCCAACTCACCTCACTTTCACCTAGATACATCGGCTTGTTTTTCTTCCTGGACCCAATTCTTCTGGTGACAGACCTCGACCTAATCAAACAAATCACAACGAAACACTTCGACCACTTCCTCGACCACAAAGACACCTTCCCTGAAAACACCTTCCTCACGGAGAACATCTTCGGCCAAAAAGGTTCCAAGTGGCGCAAAATGAGGTCCACCCTAAGCCCTTTGTTCACGAGTAGCAAGATGCGATACATGTTTTCCCTAATTTCCAAAACCGGCGAACAACTAGTCGAGCATTTTTCCCAAAAAAACGAAGACTTGGTTGTTGTAGAAATCAAAGAAGCGTTCACAAAAATCGCGAATGACGTCATCGCGAGTGTGACGTTTGGGTGTGATTGTAATTCTCTGGAAGATCCGCGGAATGACTTCTATATCATGAGCAAAAACATCATGGAAGAGGGAATGTTTAGAACGGTGAGATTTTTCGGGTACCTTGCAGCCCCAAAACTGTACGATGTAAGTATACACTTGAAGATAACCACAATTGTGTCTTAGTTCTTCAAGATATCACCTTTTTCTCTAAACGCGATAGAATACTTTGATGATCTAGTTAGAGACACGGTCAAGCTAAGAGAAAAACACAACATCGTGCGACCCGACATGCTCAACATTCTTCTAGAAGCACGAAAAAACGGCCTAAAATACGAAGATTCGCACAATGAAGACACAGCTTTCGCCACGGTTCAAGAATCAGAAATCCACAAAAGAAAACTCGACAAGGTTGACATCACAGATGAAGAAATTGCTTCACAAGGGTTCGGGTTCTTCTTCGCTGGCTACGAAGCCGTTTCTTCCACAATGGCTTTCATGAGCTACGAACTCGCCGTTAACTCTGACATCCAAGCCAGACTTATCGAAGAAGTGGACACCACGCGAAATTCCTGCGACGACCAAATCACCTACGAAGCCCTCAATTCCATGAAATATATGGACATGGTTGTGTCCGAAACCCTGCGAAAGTGGCCCCAGAACGTCGTCATCAACCGAATCTGTAATAAGCCGTTCACCATCGAGCCCAAATATCCTGACGAGAAGCCCTTGGTTTTGGAAAAGGATACTGTGTTGTGGATACCCCTTTTCGCTGTACTCAGAGACCCGAAATTTTTCCCGGATCCGGAAAAGTTTGACCCCGAAAGGTTCAGTCTCGAAAATAGAAAAAACATTGTGCAGGGGTCGTTTATACCTTTTGGATCTGGACCTCGGAATTGTATTGGGTCAAGACTGGCGATTTTGGAGACGAAAGCTGTGTTTTATCACCTACTATGTCAGTTTGAAGTCGTTCCAGTTGAGAAGACGCAGATACCGATCCAGATGCGCAAAGGCAAGATGCCTGTGATTGCAGATAAAGGGGTCTGGGTAGGACTGAAGCGACGTTTCGAAAAAATACATTCTTAGCTTCTTTAAATCTGTAATAAAGAAAATTTACACAAATAGAGAACACCAAATTTATTAGCACTTAAAATACGTCAATGGTAAGCTCAAAATCGTAATCATTCCACTTTTTCTTCCCTGGGCTTGAACCCCAGCCAAAATCCTCCCTCCGGCTGAAGATTATAACTGCTCTTATTCAGCCTGACAGGTATTTGGGTCTTGGCAACCGGCACAATTTCAAACTTAGAGAGCAAATGATAAAACAGAGTTTTGATTTCTAGAAGCGCAAACCTCGACCCTGCAACCACACCTATTAGCAGTTTCAATAAATAGTGCATAAATCTTACCAATACAATTCCTTGGACCCCAGCCAAAAGGCAGATACGTCCCGGGAATAACCTTCGATTTGTTTTCATCACTGAACCTTCCAGGATCAAACCGCTCTGGTTCGGGATAGAACTGCGGGTCTCTGTGTACCGCCATAACGGGAATCACCATATCCACCCCCTTCCTCACCAAAAACACCTTTTCTTCCTCTCCCTTCGGCTGGATCAAGTAGTCCCTCGTACACAGACGATCCGTTTCAAAAGCCGCCGGCCACTTTCTCAATGTTTCTACAAAAATAGAACTTTAGTCAGTGAGTGAAAGCGGTTTTTTCCGCTCACCAGACACCACTTGGTCGAGGTATTTCATGCCGAGGACCCCTTCGTACGGGATTTTGCTTCCGTATCTCTGTCTGACATTGTCGATTTCGTGTTGGAGCTTCTTCTGGACGTCGGGATTGGCGGCTAGTTCGTGCGCCATGAAGCTGGAGGTGGTGGAGACGGTGTCGAAGCCAGCGAAGAAGAAGAGCATTGCTTGGGCTACTATGTGTTCGTCGGAGAGTTCGATGTGTTGGGCGTTGGGGTCGGCTTCGGCTTCTTCGGCGGTGGCGAAACCTTCCCTTTTTTCTTCTTTGGCGGTTTCGCTCTTGAGTTTGCCTTTGCGGGCTTCTAGCAGGAGCTGGATTAGGTCGGGGCGCGCGATTCCTTCGGATTCTCGTTTTTGGATGTTGTCTTTGATGATCGAGCGGAAGAATTTCGTCACAGAAGGGGAAAATATTTGGAGATTGATGCACTGAAATGGCAGTGTGTATTGATAGTTGCTTCAATTACAGTTTAATATAAATTAACATTAACACTGAAGGAAGCCAAAATAGGGAACGCAACAAAAAGCACTGAGAAAATATTTTCATGAGGAATATGAACACGTAACAAGATATTTGAAAAAGAATTTAAAAAATGTGCGAAAATTCTAACACCAAAGTAAATGTAAGTTATTAAGGGATTTGAATCATTGGAAATTTGAAAAAGCGAATTGCAAATAAAATTGAAAGAAAGGAACTCAAGTCAGGTCGATCAGGTCAGGTCAAGATAATTCGATATGGTCAAAAAAGTACCTCAGGTCAGGTCAGATCTGGTCTGATCTGATCAGCACATCGAATCAGTTTAGAGTCAGGTCAGGTCAGGCTAGATCAGGTCAGATCGGTCAAGTCAAGTCAAGTCCAAGATCAGCGACGTCAGATTAGATCAACTAGGTCAAATCGGTTCATAAGTACCCAAATTGGGTCAGGTTAAGATAGATCAGACCAAGTGATACTATGACAGGTCAAGTCATAAATATGTTCTTATATTTGCTCTATTACTCTCAGTAATAATGGAGACAATCGCTGGTTCATGAAATTTTTAGCTACTCAGATCGGTCCGGAAAGACGTCTTATCGTACATTTTCTCAGGATTACGAATCTGCGTTGCCATATCCTTCTATATTCGTCTATATCCTTCCATATACGTTTATATGCGTCTATAATTTACCATATGGGTATACTTCGTGCACATTTTTTTCTATATCCTTCTATATTGATCTATATTCATTTGTACCCTTTCAAATCATTCTATATCTCTTTACATCCTTCTATATCTGTCTATATCTATCCATACTTGTCTATATCCGTCTATTTCCTTCTATTTTGGTCTATATCACTCCATATCCATCTATATCTTTCCTTATTCTTCTATATTCGTCTATTACCTTCTGTATGTTTCTATGTATCTCCTACTATATTGTGCTATATCCATCTATAGTCGTCTAGACCCTTTTATATCATTCTATTTCGGTATATATCCGTCAATATGTGTCTGTACTATTCTACTAGATTCGTCTATATTTTTCTATATCCGTTAACATCCTTCCATATCCTTCTATATCCTTATATTTCGGTCTATCTAGTCCAATATCCTTCTATATCCCTTTCTATCCGTCCATATCCGTCAACATCCCTAGGATTATATCCTTGTGTATTCTTCTATATCTGTCTATTTTCTACTATATTGTTCTATTTCGGGCTATATCCGTCAGTGTTCGTCTGTACTATTTTGTTTTTCTAGATCCGTGTCAATCTTTCTATATCCGTCTACATCTTCCTATATCTCTCGATATCTGTCTATATCCTTCTATTTCGATCTATATCCTCCCATATCCTTCTACATCCGTCAACTTTCATCCATCTGTATCCTTTTGTATCCTTTTTCTGTCTTTTTTACCATTCTATGTTCTTCTATATTCGTCTATTTCCATCTATATTCGTCTATATTCTTTTATATCGATCTATATCAGTCTAGATATGTACTTATATACTTCCATGTTTGTCTATATCTTTCTAAATCCGTTTACATTCTTCTATATTATTCCACATCCACCTATATCTTTCTATTTCGGTATATATTCTCTCACATACTTATATATCCATCAACATATCTCTATATCCCTCCTTATCCTTCTGTATCCGTATATTTCCTTCTATATCCTTCTATATCAGTCTATATACTTCTCTTTCTGTCTATATCCGTCAATATTCGTTTGTACTCTTCTATATCTTCTAAGATCCGTGTATATTTTTCGATATGCGTTTACATTCTTCTATATGCGTCTATATCTTTTCATGTACCTCCAAATTCGTTTTTATCCTACTATATTCCTCTACATCCTCCTCTATCTCTCCATATCTGCCTATATCCTTTTATTTCGGTCTATGTCCTCCCATAACCTTTGATATTCGTCAACATCCATCCATCTATATCTTTCTGTATCTTTCTATGTCCGTCTTTGTTTTCTATATGTTTATATATCCCCCTAGCTCTTTTTATTTAGATCTATATTCTCCCATATCCTTCTATATCCGTCCATATCAGTCTATTTGCTTCTATTTTTTCATATATCCTTTTATATCGATCTATATCAGCCTATATTCGTCTAGGTCCTTTTACATCATTCTATATCCATTTCTGTGCTTCCATATCTGTCTATATCTTTTTATATTCTTCCATATTTGTCTATATTTTGCTATATTTGTCTACATCTTTTTATATCTGTTTCTATCCTTTTATATCATTCTATATCCATCTATATCCTTCTATTTCTGTCTATATCCTCCCTTATCCTCTTGTATTCGTCCATATTTGTCTGTACGGTTGTATTTTCTTCTAAATCCGTGTATATCTTTCTATATCCGTCTATACGCTTCCATATTCATCTATACCTTTCTGTATCGTCCGTCTATTTCCTTCTATATACGTCAATATCCTTCTATATTCGTCTAAACCTTTCTATATCCTTTTTTTATCCGTTTATATCCGGGTCTATATCTTTTTATATTCTTCCATACTCACATATATCCTGCTATATCCCTTTATATAAATTATATCTGTTTATATCCTTCTATTTAGGGCTATATTCTCGCATCTCCTTCTATATTCTTCCATATCCGTTCATATATTGTTATATTCGTCCATTTCCTTCTATATCCTTATATTACCTTCTATATCTGTTTGCATCATACGTCGATATCTTTTTATCTTTCTTTTCGTCTAAATCCCTCGATATCCATCTATATTTGTCTATATCTGTTTGGGTGTATATCCGCCCATATCCTTGTATATCTTTCCATATGCTTTCTATATTATTCCATATTCGTCTATATCCACTTATATCTGGCTACATCTGTCTTTCCATGTCCTTCTATTTCGACCTAAATCCTCCTATATCCTTCTATATCCCAGATCTCCTATATCTGCCTATATGTTTCAATATCCGTCTATATCTTTCTAGATGTTTCTATGTCTTATATCTTTCTATCTCCTTTTAGATCCTTGGATATCCAACTAGATCCTTCTATATCCGTCTATATCCTTCTATATTTATCTATTTTGTCTGTGACCTTCTATATCCTTCTATATCTGTTTATAACTTTCTACATCATGACAAATCTGTCTATATTCATCTATATCTGTCTATATCTGTCTATATCCTTCTGTATCATCTGCATCCGTCTATTTCCTTCCATATACATCTATATCTTTTCATATTCTTACATACACTTTTATATCCTGTTATATCCATCTATATCTAACTATATCCGTCTATATCCTTCTATTCTGGACTATATTCTCCCATAGCTTTCTATTTCCTTCCATTCCGTCTCTATTCGTCTATATCTGTCTGCACCTTTTTATGTCCTTCTAAATTCGTCTATATATTCCTGTTTCCATATTATCCTTCTGTATCCTTCCACGTCCGTTCATATATTTTTATATTCATTTACATCTCGCTATATCTGTCTATAGCCATCTAGATCCCCCTGTATCCCTCCATATCCGTCTATATCCTTCTATTTCAATGTATATCGTTCCATATATCTTTCTGTATCCCTTTACGTCCGTCTATATCTGTCCACATTCATCCATCTATTCTTCTGTATCCTTCTATATTCGTCTTTTTCTTCTTTATGTTTCCATATCCGTCTATTTTCTACTATATTATTCTATAACCTTTTCTATCAATCTATATTTGTCTAAATCCCTCTCATCCTTGTACATATATGCATTTATGTCCGTCCACATCCGTCTTTATCCATTTACATTCTTAAATATTCGTCTATATCTTTCTATACCCGTTTATATCCTTCTATATCCGTCCATATTCATCCGTACGGTTATATTCTATATTCTTCTAGATCCGTGTACAACTTTCTATATCTGTGTATATGCTTCCATATTCATCTAGATACTTTTATATATGTCTGTCTATATATGTTTATATTACGTGTGAGCCTCGATATACTTCTATATCTGTTTATAATCTTGTATATCATTTCATATCCTTCTATATCTGTATACGTCAACATCATTCCATATCCGGCTATATCCATCGATATCCTTGTATATCTGTCCATAAGTTTTTTATATGCTTCCATATCGTCTATATCTTTCCATATCTTTTCTATTTCCTTCCATTTCCGTCTATATCGTGTTATATCCTTCTAAATTTGTCTATATCCATCTCATCCTTCTGTAGCCTTCCATATCCGTTCATTTATTTCTATATCCGTCTATTTCCTTCCATATGGGTCTATATCCTTCTATTAGCTTCTATATCTGTCTATATTTGTCTATATCCTTCTATTTAGGTGTGTATCTTCCCATGTCCGTCTATATCCATTTATACCTGCCTATATCTGTGTATACATTTCCATATCCTTCTATTTGGGCCTAAATTCTCCAATATCCTTCTTTATCCATCCAGATATCCCATATACGTCTATGTCTTATATCCTTCTATCTCCTTCTATATCCATCTGTATCCTTCTATATCTGTCTATCTCCTTTTATATGATACTACACTCTTCTATATAGGTCTACCTATTGAAAATTTTCTCAAAAACACGACTCTATGCTTATTTTTACTTGCAGACAGTAATAACAGAGAAAATCTCCATTATATGAACCGATTCTAACGATAAAATAAGTTGTTTTAAATTTCACTTGTTTAAAAACATATGTATTAACAATTACAAAAACTGAAATGGATCCACAACCAATCCCGTCTTCAAATCGAATTTTCTAGTTAAGATTTCTATTATTTTTCGAAATAAAGTCATTAATTTCCTGAAGAAAGTGAACAAATAAGTTTGAGTTAAGGTTTCTAATCCTTATACATACAGTCTCTAAAAAAATCGCTGCCAGACCAACGAAACTAATAATCGTACATTATCATATGCTCCTGACTGGGAAACGCCAAGGAAACATGAAAAATTCAAAAAACAACGTAAATTGTGAAAGCAAGCTAAATTAAAAAAAAAAACCGTTGAGAGAACTAAATTACTTATCGCGATTGTAAAATATCGCGGAAAACATATTTCAAAGCCACCAAAAACCCATAAAGCGTGTTTGTTATTACTTACTTCGGCCAGTTTTGGAAACGTCTGGAAAAATATCGACTTGATCGACTGCCAAAAGGTGAAATCCGACAACAACACTCCCATCTTAAAAAACTCATTTTTCGGCTCCTTCAAGCAGTCGATCTTGATCCCGAACGCGGTCGAAGCTATCACATTGCACGCAAATCGTGAAAAAACGTCCCGCATTTCCTGCTCGCTTTCCCCGTCGAAGTTGTTGACGAAATTTTCCGCGCACTCCTCCATCAGGAAGTACATGTTGCGCATTTTGCTGCTGGTGAACGCGGGGCTGAGCGTCGCCCTCATGTTCTTCCATTTGTCTCCACTTAAACTAATCAGACTTTTGCTTAATAAGGGATCGCCTTCGATGCCTTGGCCGAGAAACGCGTGATCGGTGAAGTTAGGGAAATCTTTGACGGTGATCTGTTTTATTAAGTCGACGTCCCGGATCAAGAGGCATTGTTGCCTGAATTGCATGTATCCTACGTATCTAGAAAAAGGGAAATTTCCACATTAAAATTTCGATTGTGTTGTTTGTTTAAACATTCCAGGATTATATTTAGGCGCTTATCCACCTACCTTTCCTCTGGATACTTGTTGTATAAATTCAGGGCAACGTCCACGAAAGCTTCTTTCTTAAAAAGGACTTTTCCGAAGCTCCCCACCGCAGGAAAGCACTTAGCGTGTTTAATTCCCCTCTCTGCCCAGTACCTACAAGGCTTTATCAGTTTCTGATAAATCAGAATGCTGAATAAAACGCCCAAAATATAGAACAACATTTTTGCACCTTATGCACACATCACTAAACACAGACTACCATGTAAATTGCTCTTGAGCGTATTTATAATCCTACTATAAACATTTACATCAGTATTTGTTTGCACTAGAGCTTCCTACATATACAGCAATCCTCGTGTCAAAAAAACTATTCGGAATAGATTTATGGTACTTTCAGATAAAGGAATTAAATGGAGACGTCGCTTTTGATCAATAAATCCTGCAGCTTTGACAAGGTGAATCATAGCCAGATAATTAGTAAATAATCGGTTCTGGTCGGGTAAGTGAGCCTCAAGAGGTTGTCTGTTTTTGAATGGGAGATTTCAGACGGTCGAGTTTTATTTTTACTTTCTGTTTTACACATTGCTGGGATTTCTTTAGAATAAGTGGATCGTCTGCACAGAATGGTGCAGTAAAATTGCACATTGTCTTTCAAACATATGTAAACAATTTCACGATCATAAATTATTATTATTCACGAAACTTGAGAAAATTCGAGTTTCTAGACTAGATAAGACGTCAATAAATGGGATCATAAATCTCTGCAACGCAATATCTGGATTATTTCCAATATATTGCAGCAAATACGCAGATTTATCTGCACCAGATTTTTCTCGATTCAATAATGTTAGTGTTTCGTTACGTCAGATTTATAATTACAGAAGTTTAAGTGGGAAGTTGAATTGAATATTGAAATATTAAAATTTAATGCAGGTGGATCGTTTTCCGGTTTTCATATTTATGGCAAAATGTTTGAAATTGCTTATGTTATAAATTACAATGAATGTTTAAAATTTTCAAGTTGGCAAACTTCTCGAAGAAACAAAGGTACTGCTACTTTTGTCCGTCGTTCTCTTCATAAATTCTGCAGTTTTGGTTCACAATATCCCATTAATTTAAATTTAGTGCATTCTTTAGGCTGTGCTCATTTTTTATTTTAAAGATTTAATGATAAGCAAAGTTATAATTTATTTATAGCGCAACTGGAGTTCTAATTCTTCGATACTGCCACTACTCAACTGGCCAACACTTTTTGGCCAAAAACTATTTACAGTCTGTTGTTTTCTTTTCACAAGTTTTCCATTACCAGAACTTTCTGGTCTGGTAAAACTATATTTTTGTTAAACCAGTACTAAGTCGTATAAATCCAAATCTTTGTCAGGACGTTTTTAAAAATAAAATTTCGGTACACGTATAAGCGCCGGAATAAGAATGTGGAGTTCCAGCTACGAGCGTGGTGTCGGTGTCAGTGTCGGTGTCGGTGTCAAGGTCACCGAGACCAGTCTGAACATTTTAACAAACAATATATTGTTGGTAAGTACAGGAATAGTTGTATAAAAATAACACTGATAAGTAAACCAATGATTTTCTACACCTATAATTAATTATTAACCGATGAAACTGGCAAGGCTCTATAACACATGTATATTTACTTTAATTAACCCAATCATCATTTTGTCAAAAAGTGCAAATGCAACATATTTTTGGTTTTTATTATTATTTATTAAGAGAAAATTAATGACTTCGTATACGTGTTTAATGTATATAAATTGACAACGCAGAGTTAAAACTCCATCCGTGGGTCGACGCAGACCTTTTTTTTTCTTCCTTTCATGTGTCCTTTCGCTTACGTCCTTTGGTATTTTTGTGAAGGTTTGAGAATAATTCTCTTCGGCTTTATCCACATCTGCTTCATTTTTCAACTTCTTCTATCCTCATCTTCTGATAGTTCTTCATTTCATTCTTCATTATTTTTACTTTTCATCATCTTCATCTTTACTCTTCATGATCATCACTCTGCAGTATTTTCATTACTCTTCATCGTCTTCACACTTCTTCGCTTTGATTCTTGTCGGAATCACGATTTTCTTCCTAGATCAGTTGTCGCAGCGATTTTAAAAACACAATTTCAGTCCGCATTCTCAAGACTAACATGTTTCGATAATTTTACATCTCAATGCCTACATTATCTTCTTATTTTTCTATTTTTGCTTGATTTTGCAGCTTCTTTTCGTCGTTATTCTCTCTAACCTTCACCCTTCTTCATCTTCACTCTTCATCGTCTTTACTGCTCGCTCATTTTTCACTCTTCTTGATTTTCACTTTTCATCATATACTATATTACTCTTCATTTTCATTTTTCATAATAATCGTCAATACTCTCCATAATTTTCACTCTGCTTCATCTCCACTTTTAACCATCTTGACTACTGTTCATCCACTTCACTTCTCTTCAATTTCACTCTTCATCATTTTACCCTTTTCCATCTTCATTATTCTTTATTTGTAGTTTTCTTCGTTTTCACCCTTTATCACCTTCACTTCTCTCCACCATCTTCGGTCTTCTTCAACTTCACTCTTCAGCCTTCTCACGTTGGTTATCTTCACTATTTTCAATACTCTTTATTGTCTTGCACTTCTTCGTTTTCATTCTCTATTACTTTAACTCTTTAACATCTTCACTTTTCATATTCTTCACACTTCTTTATCTTCACTCTTCATCACCTGAATTATTCCTCATCCATATTCTTCATAATGATCTTCAATACTCTTCATGATTTTCGCTAATCTTCATTCTCTTAACTCTTCTTCATATGCACACTTCCTCATTCTTACTCTTCAGGATCTTCATTTTTCTCTATCATCTTCAGTATTCGTCATCTTGACTCTTCAGCATGATCACACTCGTTTTCTTATATTACAATAACTAATCTTTATGACCTACGCCCTTTACTATTTTCAATACTCTTCGTCTTCCCACTTCTTCGTGTTGACTCTTTATCATCTTCACGCTTTAACATATTCAATTTTCATAATCTTCACATTTCCTCATCTTCACTCTTCATCATCTTCACTTTTGATCATCTACATTCTTCATAATCATCTTTAACACTCTTCATTATCTTCGCTACTCTTCATTCTTTTAACCCTTCTTCAATTTCACTTTTCATCGTCTTCATTTCTCTCCACCATCTTTAGTATTCGTCATCTTCACCCTTCAGCCTTATCACTTTCATTGTCTTTACTATTCATCATCTTTACTACTCTTTAACGTCTTTACTTCTCGTAATTTTCACACTTCATCATCTACTCTACACTTCATCTTCATTCGTCATAATTATCTTAAATACCTTTCATGACCTTCACTCATCACTATTTTAAATACTCTTCGTCCACTTCCCACTTCTTCGATTTGACTCTTTATAATCTTCACTCTTTAAAATCTTCATTTTTCATAATTTCCACACTATCTCATCTTCACACTTCTTTATCCGCACACTTTCTCATTTTCGCTCTTCATCATCTTCATTTCTCTCCACCATCTTGAGTCTTCTTCATCTTCACGCTTCAGCCTTATTACATTGGTTATCTTCACTATTCTAACATCTTCACTTTTCAAAATTTTCACACTTCATCATCTACTCTACATTTCATCTTCATTCTTCATAATTATCTTAAATACCCTTCGTGGCCCTCACTCTTCACTATTTTCAATACTTTCTATCGTCTTCCCACTTCTTCGTTTGGAGTCTATCATTTCCATACTATAACATCTTCACTTTTCACAATTTTCGCACTTCATCATCTACATTACACTTCATCTTCAAACTTCCTAATCATCTTAAATACCCTTCATGATCTTCACTCTTCACTATTTACAGTATTCTTCATCGTCTTCCCACGTCTTCGTTGTTACTCCTTATTATTTTTCACTCTTTAACATCTTCATTTTTCATAATCTTCACAAGTCACTACTTTTCTTCATCTTCTCTTTTTCATCATCTGCATTATTCTTCATCTACATTCTTCATTTTCTTCACTTTTGTTCAATTTCACTCTTCTTTATCTGCATTTTTCCTCGTTTTCACTATTCATCATCTCCATTTCTCTCCACCATCTTCAGTCTTCTTTATCTTCACTCTTCAGCCTTATCACATTCGTTATCTTTACTATGTATCATCTTCACTACTCTTTAACATCTTCACTTTTCAAAATTTTCACACTTCGTCATCTATATTACCCTTCATCTTCATTCTACATAATTATCTTAAATATCCGTCGTGGCCTTCACTCCTCGCTACTTTCAATACTCTTCATCGTCTTCCCACTTCTTTGTTTCGATTCTGTAATTTTCATATTTTAACATCTTCACTTTTCAAAACGTTCACACTTCTTCGTCTTCATTCTTCATCATCTTCACTACTCTTCTTCATCTTCACTTTTCATCATCTGCGTTACTCTTCATGATCCTCGCTACTCTTCATTCTCTTCACTCTTCTTTAATTTTAATTTTCATCATCTCGACCTTTTCCATCTTCACATTTCTTTATCTGCAAACATCTTCATTTTCACTCTTCATCATCTTCAATCCCTTCCACCTTCTTCAGTCTTCTTCATCTTCACTCTTCAGCCTTTTCACATTCGGTATCTTTACTATTCTTCATCTTCAGTACTCTTTAACATCTTCACTTTTCATAATTTTCACACTTCGTTATCTACATTTACACTTCATTTTCATTCTTCATAATCATCTTACATAATCTTCATGACCTTCTATCTTCACTGTCCTCAATATTCTTCATCGTCTTCCCACTTCTTCGTTTTGATTCTTTATCATCTTTACTTTTCATAATCTTCACACTTCCTCCTCTTCAGTTTTCATCATCTTCACTACTCTTCTTCATTTTCACTTTACACCATCTGCATTATTCCTCATCTACATTCATCATAATCATCTTCAATGCTCTTCATGATCTTTGCTATTCTTCATTCTCTTCAGTCTTCTTCAATCTAACTCTTCGGCTTCTTCATATAATTTGTTATCTTTACTATTCATCCTCTTCCCTCCTCTTTAACTTATTCACTTTTTATAATTTTCACACTTCATCATCTACATTATACTTCGTTTTTATTCTTCATTATCATCTTTAATACTCGTCATGACCTCCACTTTTCACTATTTTCAATACTCTTCATCGTCTTCCCACTTCTTCGTTTTTTGACACTATCATCTTCACACTTCCTCATCCTCACTTTTCATTATCTCCATTATTCTTCATCTACATTTTTCATAATCATCTTAAATATTCCTCATGGTCTTCGCTACTTTTCATTCTCTTCACTTTTCTTCAATTTCACTCTTCTTTACCTTCAATCTTTTTCATCTTCTTTATCTGCACACTTCCTCATTTTTACTCTTCATCATCTTCATTTCTCTCCACCATCTTCGGTTTTTTCATCTTCACTCAATAACATCATAATTTTGACTACTGTTCTCATTTTCAGTTTCACTTTTCATCATCTGTATTAGTCTTCATCTACATACTTCATAATCACCTTTAGTTTTTTTCATGATTTTCGCTACTGTTCATTCTGTTCAGTCTTCTTCAATTTCACTCTTCATCATCTTCACTACTATTCTTCCTCTCCATTTTTCATCATGTGCATTTCTCTTCAACTTTATTCTTCATAATCATCTTAAGTACTGTTCATGATCTTCACTCTTCTTCATCTCCAATCTTCATCATCTTTACGCATTATTATCTTCATGATCTTCCCTTTTCTTCATTTCGACTCTTTATCCTCTTCGCTCTTCTTCAATTTCACTTTTCTTCCATTCCACTCTTCATCATCTTTATTATCTTCATGATCTTCACTGCTCGTCATTATCTTCATTCGACGAAATTAAAAAATAAAATAAAAAAATTTCACTGTTCTTCATGTTTACTATTCTGTTCATTCTTCATTTTCACTCTTCATCTTTATTCTTCCTCTTCATTCTCTTTAATCTTCATTTGTCGTGCTCACTCTCCTTAATCTTCGTTCTTCGTCTTCATCTTCATCTACACTCTTTTTCCCCGTTCTTTATCTTCGTTCTTAATCTTCATACTTCATCTTCATTCTCATCTTTGTTCATTTTGCACTTCATGTAGGTATACTTTGCGTTATAATCCATCCTCTTCTTTAGTTAATTTTAGGGAGATTCTTGATCAAGAGATACTATGGGAAATTTTACAGATAGAGGAATTTCTTCTTTTCCCTTTTATGAATTATTTTTAAGAGTTCCTTAATCAGTAAAACCTCTTTTCATTGCTTTTTGTTATTTTTATGCAAGGTGTGAAAATTTATCATACATTTATTTTTCGTTTCCTAGTTTTTCTTCTTTTTCTTCAATTGATGAAGAAAACATGTTTTAACATTCCAGAATTTATCGTCATTCTGTCTTCATTCGCAAGTTTGGTTAATCGTCAATACACGGTTAGGTGTTTTAATTTTTTTATACAACTTACCTTTGTTCCTTTATTTTATTAATTAACCAAACATTTGTTCGTAGTCTTTTGCAAAATCCGAAAAAAGAGAAATAAGGAAGGAATTTCAAAAGTCAAAATGCAATGGAAAACACAGTCGGCGATACTTTACTTGTAAACTCAGTTGGCAACTCTGTTCCTTAACTGTCACATCCTATTGTCAACATATTTTAGGTTAAGAATTTTAATCATGCAGTCATGATACTTGAAATAATATGCTATTCACAGAGTTACCAACTGAAGTTGTAAAAGTGCAAAAGTTGTAACAATCTGGTCAGGGAATAATAAAAGGCTTCTGGTTAAAGATAATTTATATTTTATGAAAAATTGAGTCTCATCAACCCTTTCCATCTATATTATTCCACAAATACAACATGGTTTTACAAAGCAGGTAAACAAATTCAAACTAAGACAAAAAATCAATCCAACTTTCTGGGTTTAAAACCCAACCAAAACCCACTTTCTGGTTGTAAGTTAAAATGCGCCTTGCTAATCCTAATGGGTGTCTCAGTCCGGGCAACTGGAACTAGTTCAAATTTAGAAAGCAAATGATAAAATATAGTTTTAATTTCCAGAACAGCAAATCTTGACCCTATAATTCAAACACTGAATATCTACATTTCCACATTTAGTAACCCTACCAATGCAATTCCTTGGACCCCACCCAAACGGCAAAAACGTCCCCGGAACAATTTTCGCCTTATTATCATCACTAAACCTCTCCGGATCAAAACGATTAGGTTCTGGGTAGTAGCGAGCATCCCGGTGTATCCCCATTACAGGAATAACGACATCAACACCCTTTTCAACCAAAAAGGGTTTTTCGCCAGGATTCTTCGACTGGATCACGTAGTCCTTAGTACAAAGTCGATCGGTCTCAAATGCTGCAGGCCACAGTCTTAAAGTTTCTAAAAAAGAAAAATTATTTCTTTCATGGAAAAAATGAACATATTGTCACCTGAAACCACTTGGTCCAGATACTTCATGGAAAGTAAAGCCTCATACGGCACGTTTTTACCAAATTTGCTCCTAACCCCATCAATTTCGTCTTGAAGTTTTTTTTGAACGTCAACATTCACAGCCAATTCGTGTGCCATGAAACTCGCGGTTGTGGTAATGGTGTCAAAACCCGCCAAAAAGAACAACATCGCTTGTGCCATAATGTGCTCATCGGTGAGTTCGACGTGTTGCGTTGTAGAGTCAAAATGGACACCTTCGGTCTTGTCATCGTCTTCAAATTTGAGTTTGCCTTTACGTGCTTCCAGTAGAAGATGGATTAAGTCGGGACGAACGATCTCATTGTCTTGTCTTTTCTTGATGTTGTCTTTGATGATGGCCCGGAAGAACGTGGTGGCGGATGGCGGAAACACCTCGATTTGGAAAAACTACAAAAATCGATGCAGTGTTTTGAAAACTGGAAACTCTGAGTTACCTACTTCAGCCAGTTTTGGTGACGTTTGGGCGACAATTAGTTTGAGAGTTTGCCACAGGTTGAAGTCAGCCAAAAGTTGTCCCATTTTCAAGAATTCGTCGTCTGGTTCTTTTCGGCAGTCGATTTTGATTCCAAAGGCCGTGGTGGCAATTACGTTGCAGGCAACCTTTGAAAATGTGTCCCTCATTTCTAGCTCCATTTCTCCTTCTAAGTTGTCGACGAAGCTCGAAACACATTCTTCTATTAAGAGGTACATGTTTCTCATTTTGCTGCTGGTAAAAGCAGGGCTTAGAGTAGCCCTCATGTTCTTCCATTTTTCGCCGGTGAGGCTCACCAAACTTTTGCTTAGCATGGGGTCGGCGTCCGTTCCTTGTCCGAAAATTGCATGGTCGGTGAAATGGTTGAAGTCTTTCACAGTAATTTGTTTGATTAGTTCCAGGTCGCGAAGCAGAAGGCATTGTTGCATGAATTGCATGTACCCCACATATCTGAAAAGGTCAAAATTTAACATAAATTGTCTGGAAAAGGTTTACTTAGCAAAATTTTAGGATGACGTTATTAAATTTTGGTGGGGATAAAAACACATAAACAGTGATGTCTCTGACCCTATTTTTTATCGACTTAAATCCATCTGCTGGAATAGTTTAAGGTCGTTGCTCCCCTGCACGTGAATCTTGCATTTTTGCTGGCACGTGTTCATTTCTTTAGTGATTGTGTCACCTACCGCCACAATTTAATTTTTAAGTGACGTTTACTTATGAAATTAATAAATTAAGGTTAATTAAATTAAATTAATTAATGTAGAGTTCATAGTTTGTTTTAGGTTACATTCTTGTGAATTAAAAAATATCTACAATGACCAAAAAAAAAAAAACTATATTAAAATACCTTTCATCTACATGTTTGTTGTATAAATTGAACGAAACGTCCATAAAAGCTTCCTTTTTGAAAAGAACTTTTCCCATGCTTCCCACCCCGGGCCAACACGGCGCATGCTTGATTCCTATTAATTTCCAATAGTTGCAAGGTTTTATTAAAAAAATGTAAATCAAAACACTTAAAAGGACACCCAGGAGGAAGAAGAACATTTTCAAGGTTCACTCACAAATCTCACAGCTCTGACTGAACCATAAACAACTCTTGGTTGTATTTATAATTATAATCCCAGTGTTATTAGTTGCTAGCATTTGATAAATAAAAGTATCAATGGTTATTTTTTTTTTATTTTGGTATTTCAAAATGTTTTCTTCAAAGGGTACGCTTTAAAATAATTTTTATCTTTCTGATTAAATTTAAGTTTCAAATTAGGAATTATTTTCTGTTAAGAAGTTAGACAACCAACAATACACATGTCATTGAAAAACGTGTCGGAATCATCCACCACATATTTAATTATTATTAACCTATAAAATGTTGGATAAATCTCACTCCAAATGACTACGACTGGTTATCTCTTACTAAATTTAGCTCAGTTATCGATTTTAGTAGCTATTTTATACACAAGTGGTTGTAGGGGAACATGGGGAACCTTCAAACATGTGAAACATTTTATTGTTACTTGCATCTCACAGATGTCGCTGTACATGTATGTTGGTAATCTATAAAGTAATTTTCCTGGGCCACCAGCAATCGTCGCAATCGCTTAGTTGATAAGTTGTGGTGGTTATGTTGGTACCAAAAGTAAATTATTATCAGTGAACAGTTCCACCTTTATTTTCTGCGACTGTTTGATGCCATTAACAATTTGAAATAAAATTAGTAAGTGATTTAAAATTTGTGTTTTGTTTTGGTTTGATATTCAAAATTTGCATATTTTGTATCTCCCTGATATTACCCGTGCTGTGCTCCCTTATATTATTCACAGTTTAATATTTTTAAAGTTGGCATTGTGTTTCAAAAAGTTTTTTAAATTAATGACAAGTGAGGCAACAGGACGTGAATTTTAGTATCTTCCAGAGCTGTTCAGTACTTCAAGTAAAAGTACTTGAAGTAATACTTCAAGTACTTTAAGTACTTCAAGTACTTTACTTGAAGTACTTTTATATTTAGGTACTTGGTACTTGGTACTTGGAGTATTTCTAAAATGTACTTGAGTTTAGTACTTGATTTTGCCAAGTACTTTACTCCAAGTACTTCACTCAGTATTTTAAATACTCTTGAATTACTTGAAGTATGAAAGTGGAAATTTCAAATACTTTAGTTTCTATTTTACGAAGTTTTCACATCTCAAAATAGGGTCTGTTAAATACTTGCAGATATTAATTCAATTATTTGATTAGATGTATTTTTATAGTAAAATCGTGTTTGTGTCCTGGGAGGTTATATTTTGATCTGTGATTGTGGATATCTTATCCACAATATGACGTACATTTCACTTGCATAATGCCGATAGATAGGTAGGTAAAAAAATTAATGTCATACATATGTCATTTGAGAGCGGATGACGACAGCAGAAGGGTCGGAGATCTGTGTAAAATTTTCAGCGATGTAAAGTTGTGAATATATGAATTCTGTCTTTTTTGTATTTTGGTCTGGAACTTAAGTTTGCGGGTAGTTTTTCAGTACCTTCCCGGTACCCCAAAGGGAATCGGGTTTGTTGACGTACCTGCTAAAGTGCAAGGTCGGATTTGAAAATATTTGAGAAATGATTCAGTACTCGTTCAAAAACATATTTATTCTTTCATTAGTTTCTTAACCCCGCCGTGTATTTGTCAATAAGAAGACTGGTCAGGGCGGAGAACTCGGTAGGGGATTATCCCTTTTATTATAATAGCAATAGCTGATGGCAGGTACAGACTTTCATATTCACCTCTTCCTCGTAGAATTTAAACACAATTTTATGTTAAATATTTTGCAGTTTAATTTTCTTTATCATGTTAGACACTCGTTTTTTACCAAATTTTCTTTTTTTGTTTATACGTGGTTCAGCCATATAAACTTAGTTTGTTATTACTACTTATATTTTCTCACATTACAGTTTCAAATAATCTGTTAAATTGTATGAATTATTTGAACACCAAAAATTTAAAAAGACGTAATGCAGAAAAACAATGATTTTAAAAGTCACACTAACTAGTGTCATTTGTCTTTCCTGTGCGGATTTTATTTATTACCGTACAACAACTTTACGTATTACCAGTGAGTATAGAATAAATACATAGTCAGTGGTATTACATTGCATCGCTTATTACATAAACCCAATATTGTTCAAAATGAAATATGTTTTGTGAAACTCGGCTCGTAGTACCAATGTTTTTTGTAATCCAGTTGATACGACCATTATTGTATGGTTTTGATGAGTACCGAATTGTACTTTGATATTGCTCGAAGGACCTTTGTTTTGTTGTACGCGAAATAATAGATAGGGTTCGGTTTCGATGTTTAAATACAGGACGGTTACAGAAGTACTGAATTTACATTTGTATTTACAATATCAGGTAAAGATACCCAAAAGGGTCAGTGGCCGCTTCCGTAAATGGAACAAAATTCATATTCACATTATAAAAAAATACAAAGTTAATGAAATTCGCGATTAGTTAGTATAATTGCCTAGATAAATACACCCCTACGAAATATTTTAACAATAATAAATTTACTACATATTTACCTGAATTTTCGCAAAAGCCGTTGTTAGGCATTCCCTGAAATCATTGTAGTTATCAGTTACTAATGGCATCTTCTTTGAGTTTTAAGGTAAAAATAAAAAATAAGCCAATCGAAAATGTAAAGGAAAATTCTGAAAGTATTGTGGCATTAGAGGAACAAAATTTTGTATAAATGGACGGAACAGCATTACGAACCTTGTGCTTTGTCAGTGTAAAGTTACATACTTAGTTAGACAAAGATTGTAGTGATTAGTATTTACTATTTAGTCACTGTAGTATTTAGGTTAATTTAATAATTTTTAGAATACAGTAGCGGTCATTTCTACGGAACCACTCGATAAAAAGTCAAGTTGGTAGCCCTGTCATCTAGTACTTTACGCCGAACGCGGTTGGTAGCGGTAGCTGATATGGCAATCGAAACTAGCACAACACGAATGTTTCGGTTGCCCTCAGCTATGCCGCACTGTATCCCGTGCAGACTGTATGTTCTGTTCATCTATTTATTAAAATAAAATATCTACATTAACAATGGGGTCATCTAACCTGTCAAATTTTTGACACATATGTTTTCCCCCAGAAACCCGTCAAGGTCACTTACACCAAACAAATTTTGAAAATTTACACTAGGGAGTGGTTCTATAGAAAAGATCGCGACTTTAGTAAATACGTAAGTGGTAGACAGATATATTCAGGAATATGGGGCATTCATTCCAAGAAAATTCTCAGCATTTTTGGTAAACGCAAAAGTAAAAAACGACTAATTACTTTGATCACCTTGATATTTTTCAAGAGTTATAGTTTTCGCTGAAAATGGACTCTCGTTTTAGGCATTTTATTTTTTATTTAAAAAATTCATGTTTTTTTTTGAAAATGCAACATAGTGTCTTAAACATTTTTATGTCACGAGCATGTATATGTATCGCACTGCTCTTAAAAATTTTTTCTGAAAAATTTCAGTTTCACAAATCCGGCCCTGTGCACTTTCACAATGGGTAATGATTAAGGGTGCTGTAAACTACACACAAACTTAAACACGGAACTAGTTCATAAAATTCATATATTTTTAACACAACTTTATTAAAAAATCAGAACGTTTTGGTGTTGAACCAAAATTCAAAATATTAAAAAAAGGCAACAGAAGCCTGAGAAAATACCATACAGCGCCGATGTTTTTGTTATAAATTAATAGTAAGCATACATAGACAACGCCGTCATGTATTTTATTTTAAATTTTAAATTAGAAATAGACGTTAATTTTGTCGAAGGCATTGTGTCAACAGAAAGATGTAAAAGTATTTCAAAAGAATATTGTTTATAAATAACATAGTATTAGTAATAAGTGAGCTACCATTCTGCATTTAAGTTGATGCTTATGCAATTTTTTATGTGGCGAAATATGTATTATTGTATACTTAAATTCTGAGTATTAAAAAATTCAGTTCTAAAATATATTAAGCTTTTTTAAAAAAACAGGAAAAGTTATCTAATTCTACAGTATTTCAAATAATTAGAAAGTACTTGAAGCATTTTCAGTACTTCAAGTATTTGTAAGTACTTGAAGTATACCTCCAGTACTTCAAGTACTCGTAAGTACTTGAAGTAATGTACTTGGCTTGTACTTCAAGTACATCTGAAAAGTACTTGATACTTGAAATACTCTTGCTGAAAGTAAGTACTTGGTACTTTACTTGAACACTATTTCAAGTAGTACTTTGTACTTGGTACTTCAAGTACTTTTTTTGAGTACTTTGAACAGCTCTGGTATCTTCCATGTTTACATCTGGAAATAAAAATTAAATCTGAAAATATTAAGATTAGGTTTATCTCAAGAGGTATATAAAAAGATTACAAGGTTAGATAATGATTTAATAAGACATACCATTATAAATCACGAAGGTGGGAAATATCGCAAAACAATAAGATAATTTCTCCTTCCTGTCTTTTTTTTTTCTCAAGCCATTCCCAGTTAGTGAAAACTTGCAGCTGCTAAAACATTTTAGTTAAAAAATTACGGGTTTCATAATTTCTATAAATGAAAAAGTTTCCTAGATTAACTCCAAATGTGCTGGATTCTGGATATATGGTAAAATGCTAACCTAAATTTGTATGATTAATTGAACATTCCCGCCAAAAATTTGATGACGTGATCTCAAAATTTTATTAAGCAAGAGAAGAAGATTTCTGCGATAAAAATAATATTAATAATAATAATAAAGAAAGCAAGGCAGATTCATAAACCACAAGTTATAAAATTGCAATGGCGTTTATTAAACATAACAGACAGACGGAAATCATGCTGCGTTTAAATTTCCAAATACTTTATAATAAGTTTTAGGAAAAATTTAAGAATATTATTAATATATTTTTGGAATTAACTCATCGAAATCTATATCCCAGAATTTTTTCAGGATTTTTAGACAAGTTTTTCAAAATCAAAATTTTTTTTGAAAAACAAATTGTGAAAATTATCGAAATTTCCCGTTCACCTTCAAAACTTAACTAATGACGTTTTCTTGTGCATTTCTACTTTCAAAAGTGAGTTTCGG